ATTACAGAAATACGACTGACAATGAAATAAAAATAAAAAATTGATTGATGATTATTCAATTAAAATGCAATATAAATAAATTTTTAAAAAGATAAAAAGGTCTGAATTATTTAAATTTAAATAAAAGCCAATTAAATTTAAAAAGTATTAAATAAATAGTAATTTTATAATTTATAACTCACAACCTCATTATGCGTTTATCTTTACTTCTGTAATGGTTCATTCAATTATCGTTTCCTTCTATATTATCTTTCACTACTTCATAAGGTTTCTTCCATATATTAAATATTTAAGAATAAATTAAACAAGCTCGTGTACGAGATTTATTTTTTTAATTCAACTGGCATCGCTAGCAATGCTTAAAACTTGCACAAACTTTGAATTTTAATTCATTTTTCTTTTCAGGATCGATCATTCATTCCAGATTCCAGAAGTTTCTTTTAGTTTCTCCACCTCCATCAACAGCTAATTTAAGTTTTTCTCTTTCTGTCTCCGATCTCTTTCTATTATTTCTTCCTCACCCAACTTCTGCCATTCAAATTAGCCCAGAAACGCACAAAGGAATGTGCGAGCGAGAGAACAGCGCGACACACTATACGTGATGAAAATCATTTACAGGAATGGCAATTAACTCATCAGCAGGCTGGCACAAAATAACAATGGCGAATTATATAGTGCCATTGTATTCTGCCGCAGCTGCGCCCACGAATGTCAGCATGGATGGAGAGAATCACAAATAATAGTCGGTCCGTTGAGTGACTTGCAATCGCGATTTCGTTTGAGGTAGGATCACTTTTCATTGTGCACTCGAGCGTGAAAATCTACAAAAAAAATATATGCACAAAGAAAAATAATGAATAAAATATAATTGAATAATAAAAATTTTGTGCTTAATTTTTAGATTTAAAAGCATCTTGTTTAATGAGTTTAATGTGATTTCTCTCCGGTATTAGTATATTTGAATTGGTAAATTTTTGCTGGCACTGATTTTCATAGCATACATATTTTCATTCAAACGTTGATTTTTTCATTTAAAAAATTTACTAGCCGCGTTTATAAAAAAAATTTTAAAAACTATATCGGCCAATCCTAACTGAATGAGAAGATTTAAATTCTGCGAAAAAAAATCTACATAAATAAATAATAGTGTGTTATCTCAAAATGATTATTTTCATGGAAACATAAACAGTTTTCAAGTTATACATATTTTGATTCAGAATAGCAAAATTTGCAAAGATGTATTCAATACCAGACAATTTTCTAAAGGAATAAGGCCATAAAATAATTTTCTGTTTACAAAGCAATTTATTGTAGCTCATTTGTGTGGTAATTTAATAATTTGAAGACATGTGTTTTACCTCCACAATCAAGATATAACAGATTATTCATCTCCTCTTTATCGTATCTATCTTGCACTTGGAGAAGAGCATTAATGCCGCACACTGCACGCACCGCGCGTTGAGATGGTTTCTCTCATGCATAATTCATATTCCCGTGTGCTAAAGTGTGTTGTTGAAGCGTTGTGCACCAACGGCAATTACATGCAAGCGCTGGCATAAATTTATCCCATAATTGGACGCTCAGTTTAATATGAGAGAAACCATCACAAAAAAACAGTGCAATTAGAGTTTAAAAACTGCGCACACAGGCGAATTAAACAATTGAACTAGTTTACGTTCGGACACGCGTGTGAGAGAAGTTTCAGGGCAAATAATTTTAAAGTTTCCTGTAAGGTAATTAAGCGTCGGTTAATAAAGAAAAATTACTTTATTAATTAAGGCTGCGAGAGCCGTGAACTTCAAGATATGAAATAAAAGTGTGAGAATTTTGAGCAGGTTATTTTAGTCGACATGCACCGAAATTAATGAAGAGCGAGCAAAATGAATTGGAAAAAATATACAGTAAAGCATTTTCTAAAAAATGTATACTCAAAATGGAACAAAAATACTTGTTACTATTTCACTTGAAGTTTCCTTTCAACATTTAAATTATATTGGCCATAAATTTAACTTCAAATTAAGTATGGGTTTGTGTGTAATTTTTTAAAGAAATAATCTAAAATTTTCCAGATTTTCAGGATGTACTTTTTGAAAAGTAAAACCCATTTTTCTGTCTCTTTATACTTTTTTGTTTAATACACATTGATCGAATGATCGCTGATTTCAGTTAATAGGCTATGCCAGAAATAATTTAAGGTTAAAATAATTTAATTACTATTCCTATGCCTCATAGTACTTTTTTAAATTTCATTTAACATAATTATAATACTTATTGAACCGCAAATCACTCTTAAACTGGAAGTGCAATCATGTTGTACTTTGAAATGTGCTATTGGAAAAAGTTCTAAAAGGAAGTATTAAAACAGTGGATGTCCTTTTGCTTTGCTTGTGTAATTATGCACGAGTCGCGAGTATTATTTTCATAATTAGTCCCGCGCACACGCGTCATTTGCGTCCGTCCGCTCATTAAAAGCGTAATATGTTCCACATTCCGCGCACACCGGCTCCGCGGCGTCTGTCTGCTCATTAAGCATCTTCACTGCAAAACTAGGCCGGAGAACACACACCGCGCGCGTGCGACTAGCAACAGGGGAAAAAGATGCTTTCATTTGTAAAATAATTTTAAAAAATTACGTGCCTAATTGGCACTGCAGATTATCGGCAGAAATTTTTGAGCGTCGGTTTACCACGGTGCATTAATTGGTTTTATCTTCAAGAGTTATTATTTGATGGTGCACGGCTCGTGCTACAGTTATGGGTCGCGAATACAGCCGCTTTTTTATTGCGAATTTGCGGGCGAGAGAGGCAGCTGGATTTAGGAGCACGATTTTCAGCAGCGTCCTCGTGAGAGAGGAGAATGCTGCCAATTTGGATTCTCCGGAACTGGTTTTACTGTATTTTGGTCCTCCTTTTGATTCATCTTATGTAAAACTCGTAATTTATGAGTGAACATAATAATTTAGTAGGAAGCGAAGCATCGAAGTGTGCAATTTAAATTGTCCAAAAATTCCAAAATTAATTTTATGAAACGTAAAATCTCCATCAAGCCGTATCAAACAGAATAAAAGGGCGCTCAAATTTATGTTTCTTTTGTGTTCCAAGGAATGAAACCGATAACTTCAAGACAATGGCAATTCCATTCCACAAATGATTCAATTCATCTTCATTGTGCGAAATAAAATTGAATTTTTGGCAGTCTGTTTTTTTCTTTCAATATTTTATATTTCTTGATATCTTTGTTATTTAACATTTCTGCGTCAAAAAGTTCAATTTTGCAGCATGTCAATGTGTAAATTTTGAACAATTGTAAATTGAAAAATTAATGCTGTCTTCTAATTGATATGTAAATCAGATCAATTTTGAGAGCTAAATTGATCTCAAAGATTTCTCCTTGTGCATTTAATATTTCATGTCCCAAATAGAGCAAGTACTTGTCCCTATTTTTTAGGCTAATTATTTAAATACTTAAAATAATTTGTTGCTTCCTCTGCTCGTAATTAGAGGTTTTCCGTTTTGAAAGCTTTCGACTGATCATTGATGCAGCGGATCTGGTCCTCCATAAAATTCACCCGGTTTTCTTCTTCCACTCGCTTTGGTAAACTGCTGCAGGGGCTGATTTTTATACTTTAATGGTGGTTATATTTCAATGAGATCCTCTCTCTCCGCTATGCACTTTCTATCTTCTCGCGAAGTTACATCAGGCGCCTTTGATCCGTGTTCGTTCTCCGTCAAAGAGAAAATTCGCTTCGGTTTCCATTTCAGTCAATTGTTGCGCTTAACAATAAAATAAAAAAGGATGCAGGCGCGGACCGAAAATCGCTCGCTTTGCATCCTAGAGAAAACGCACGCACACAAGAGACGCTTGCGCTGACCTTATTCGTATTTCAGGATGCAGCATCTCTCTCTCTCTCGCCTTTTCTCTGATTCATGCGTATTGTGCTTTAAATAGAATCAATTTGGAACTCATTCAGTGTGATTTTGATGTATTGATTGCGAATAGCACGCGCCAAAGAAAAATTTATCGTAACTGATGATGATGAGTATCATTGTATATAATAAAAAATCGATTCTTCTCTGCGAGGTTCTTGCACTGCTTGGCACGCGGGAATTTTTATGATGCACACTGCTCGCGAACAAGAAACATCCAGCACGCACTAATTGATCTGATTTTTACTTTTTATAGCTGAGAATCAGAAATTTTTATGAGAAACGGTTAAAGTATTTGTTTCAGGTTTTATAGAGTGATTTATCAAAATTAGGAAAACAATTTTTAAATCCCTAGCTATGAAATTCCATTCTATTTATACTTGAATTTTTTTGTAATGTTTTTGTAGAGTTTAGGTTGAATTATTTCATTATAAATGTCAAATGTCAATAAATTACAAAATAAAGAAATATCTGAAGAAAATTATAATTATTGTATGTAATGCTGATGCCTAAACACATTGTTATTTAATAAAAGTAAAATTAGATAAAATTTTTTGCTTGACATGAAATATACAAAACTTGTAGAACCAAAGACATACTTAATAATTATTAAAACTTTAAATCAATCACTTTTTTGTTACTATTAGACCTTCAAGCATTGATGTCTCCAGGCTTTTTAATTGCACACATAATTTTGAGAAAAAAACTTGTTTCACATTTTGGTCACTTAAAATAATTTTTATCTCAAGAAACGGGAAAAGGAGAAACTAGAGCACTTTGACCTCTCTTGCTGTCTGAATGCGAAAGTGCACCGAACTTAAATGAAGATAAACACGTTTGGAAGTGCACTGGCTGCTGATTGAGAACAGGTTAGTGAATCTGCCCAGGCAGCAGACATGCGACAAAGCGAAAAAGAAAGTGCACCGAGAGAAGAAGAAGACGCGCATTAAATCGAGTCCGTGCGGAGACGCGAATCAACGGCAGCGGAATTCATCGCCTGTGGAGCAAAACAGACGTTCAATGTGGGTTATTATAATCACGGTATGAAAATGAATCTGCTATAGAGGCCAAGGTTAAGACCATAGGTGTGTTGAGTGCGAGAACCCCGCGCGCCGGACGAGAGCCGGTAGCAGAGCAGGAGAGGGGCCTTCCGTAGGTCCGTGGATCGGGTGCCTTACCAAGAGCAGCCGCCGAAGAAGCGTCGGCCCCCTTCTGCGTGACATATTTAGCGGAGCTCTCTCCTTCCCCGATACCAAGGGAATAAAAGAGCCGGCGCGGCCGATTGTTGCATCAGTTTTGGTCGAAATTTCCGCAGATAATGAACCGAATCGCCGGTGTCTTGTGTTTGCTGGCGGTCGGCGCCATGGCGCTGCCTGCCCAGGAGCAGTCTGACTGGCTCGGCTGCGGCAAGCAGGGCCTCAGCATGTGCCTGCAGATGAGGGCCCTCAAGTTCGTCGACGGCCTCAACCACCAGGGCGACGTTGAAATCACCGAGGGTGTTTCTCTGGTCAGCCAGGGCGCCAAGAGCGGACGTGCTCTGAACGCCGCCGAACTCGAAGCTTCTCTGCCCGCCGATGCCGAAGAGCGTGAGAACCAAGTGCAGCAGTTGCTGGTCGAGCGCGTTGCCCGTTTCTTCTCGACCCACACCCTGCAGGTCAAGCTGCCCCAGGAGTCCATCAATGACATGAAGCGCTCCCTCGAAGAAGGTAAGCAAGTCCCCTAAGTAAAAATTTCTAAAATTTTCAATTAATTTAAAAATTTATGAAATTAATAATTTTATGCAATAATTGTTTTAGGCCGCAAGAAGAAGAAGAAGTTCCTTCTTCCCCTGCTCCTCGCCATCAAGCTCAAGGCCATCGCCCTTGTGCCCATCATCATCGGTGCCCTCTTCATTCTGGCCTTCAAGGCTCTGGTCGTCGGCAAGATCGCCCTCGTCCTCTCCGCCCTGATCGGTCTGCAGAAGCTCCTCGGCGGCCACAAGACCGTTGAGGTCGTGTCTCACGGCTACGACACCGAGCACCACTACGGCCGCTCCGCCGACGATTTGGCCTACAGCGCCCACGCCACCCAGTAAACGACAGACGTCATTTTCTCTCTTTACTGCAGACTCTTGACTCTCTCTCTAATTATTCCGACTTCCTCCTGTGAAATGACGGACTGACGCCGCCATTGACTGACTGCACCATTTCTATGCTCTTTCAATTTTCACCCCCTTACTGACTTTACTACAAACACCTCAGGACTGCGAAATAATCAAAAACGTTTGCTCAATATATTTCCCTCTTGCCCTTGACTCTCTTCACTCCACCTGTTTCCGTGCTTCTATGACTTGGACTGCGTGCTATTTATTGCTAATTTATTGAAAAGAAAAAATTATTTAAATAAATACACCGGCGGCCGCTCTTCTGCTCAAATTGCAGTGGTCGAGTGGTCAAATCATTCTCCGTAATTTCTACTGTGCCTCTATTGTTCAAACTTTTATGTTGTAATAAAGTGTACAAAAAGCCGCAAACACACGTTGTTTCTGTTCAAAAATAGTGTAACATGATCTCAGGGGATGAATACATACAAAAATACAGACAAGTTGATGCCGTGAATAATGTTCAACTTGACAGACATGCCTGGCCTAATCACCGAAACAATCTCATATATTTGCATAATCCGCACGGATAACTGTAAAAGGCACGCTGCGGCTGATGAGAATTATTTCATTGGCCCCCGCCATGGGATGCTCCGAGCGCACGCAGCGTGTGCTGATCCCTGCCCAACCGGCCGGACGGGGACCACCGCTAGAGCTGCCGGGCGGGTTTCATCTTTCGTTTCAACCTCTTGCACATAACTCAGAGCAGTTGGCCCACTTTTGACATGAAAACAAGCCGAGGCTGGCTTGTCAACGAAAATTATTTAGTCATAAACTAACAGAAAAAGAAGACACACAAGACCGCTGAATATTAAAACGGAATTTCGAGGAATTTGTTAACCCACAGTAGTGCCTCACCGTTTTTATTTGTTGGTAAACTAGCTCTAATTTTGCCTCAAAGAAGAGAATTTTTAAAAGTTTTAAACTTCAATTTATAATTAAGTCAGCAAATGAATGTTCAAACATCAATGAAAGTTGATTCATGCTAAATGAATGTGTAGATGTGTCTTAAAATTTTAGTCATTTCTTAGATATTGGCAAAAAAAAAGCAAAATTGTATTGTTTTTATTATTCAAAATATTTATTTCTCTCCCTCTATAAAAACTACTGCTCATTTTAATATCCCTTTTTAAAAGCAAGTTCTCTTCTTATGCAGAATTATTGTCTATGTGCATGCAATAATAATGAGCTATAACAAAATAGGGGGTCTCACTTTTCGATGGTGTCGTAAAGATCAGTTCTTCTTTGAGAATAAACAGGAATATTCTGTCTGAACTCCTCAGCTGTTGACAGGTCTGTAAAACCATGAAATGACACAAATTAAAAAATAAATTTACAACTTTGATCTCCTTTATAAAAATAAGTAAAAAAATAAGATTAATTAAATAAAAATGACCTAAAACTTCTTTCAAAGATTAATTAAAATTAAGATTTAAGCTAAAAATTTACCTATATCAGCGTAAACAATCTCCTCGTCAGCATCGGCCCTGCAGAGAATCTTCCCCCAAGGGTCGACTAGCATCGTGTTGCCATAACTCTGATAGCCTGCTCCTTTTGTCCTTGCAGGGGCTATTCCTGCCACAAAGCACTGCGTGTCTACAGCTCTGGCTCTGATCAGAAGTTCCCAGTGCAAAGGGCCGGTGGTCATATTGAATGCTCCGGGGTACAAAAGCAAGCTGCACCCTGAACAACATTGCTTTTGATTAACTTACAGTAAAAATAATTTTAAATTTTTACCAAGCTTTCTGTAGATAGTAGCCATTTCATTGAAACGTAGATCGTAGCAAATTCCCAGGCCGACTTTCCAAGCAGCAATGTTAAAAGTGGTCAAGCCTTTGCCAGGAGAGAGAGTTTCCGACTCTTTGAAGGTAATTTTTCCAGGAATGTCAATATCAAACAAATGAGTCTAAATTAAAAATGATTTTGTTAAAATATATATAGAATAATACAAATAATATGTACTTTCTGGTGTTTGGCAATTAAATTTCCTTCTGGGGACCAAACAGTGGAAGTGTTGTACAATTTAGCAATGCCATTTTCAGTTAGTCTTTCGGGAATAGATCCGCCGATCAGATGTACTTGTTTTGCCTTGGCACAGTCAGACAAGGCAATGCAGCTGGGTCCAGAAGGGACTTCCTCAGCGTTGGGCTCAAAGTGCTCTGAAATTTAGAAATAGCTCATTTTAGAAAAAATTTGTGTGCTGTTTACAATATAACAATAGTTTTGACAAATTGGTCTTTTAATTTGTGTTAAAAAAATTAAATTATAAAACTTATTTTACTTGTTCCATAGGGAGAGTTGAAACACTCGGGCAGGACCACAACATCTGCATTTTGCTTCTTGGCCTCTGCGACCAAGTTCATGGCCCTCATTAAATTGTCAGCTTTTATCGCAGACACCTCCATCTGGATCAGAGCCAATTTCAAGGAACCTTTTAAAGTTTAATTAAATAATAAATTAATCAGTTTTTAATTATGTAATAATTATTTATTTTTGCGTGGAAAATATTTACATAAAGAAATATACATACCGGCTTTTCCATGCAAAAATTTATTTTTACTTACGAGCCATTTTAACTGCAGAATTCATTCAAGAGGTAGGTAACAATCGACGTCACGCTCAGAAAGAGTAAAAGTTGCGAAATATCATGCAGTGTTTTTTACCAAACTTCTTATGAACGGAAAGGATCTTCGGAAAAATCTTCTCTGAGAATTCCGTGTTTATTTTATTTTCTGTCAAAAATATCCACGACCACGCCCCCTTTACGTCATCGATCAGCAGGGGATGGGGAGCAGCTTTTGTTTATGAAATTTTGGAAGCTCTGCAAAAGTTAAAATTTAACTTAAATTCGCCCGAATTTTTAAGTTTCTAGTATTAAAATTAGAAATTTGAAACAATAGTAGAGGTTGAATGTCAAATATATCTAGGATGTGAGGGTACGTAAAATGCATCAGCTCATGATTTCCTTCAGATTTTGGCTCTAAATAATTATCCTTATTTTTCTTTCATGTGCAGTGATCTTTGGCTGTTTAGCAAATTACAATGGAGTGCTAACATCTACTAAAATGACGCCGTTTGACGATTTCTTATATCTGGTCAATTCTATCCTGTTAGGAGAAGAGCCTGTAATTATTAACAAAATCATAAATAGTTTAAATTTTAATGCAAAATTTATTTTAAATTTTCAGTCCGTGGAAGACTTCATTCTCCTTATAGGCACGTTTGTTGCTTTTGTGGCATTTGTCCTGTGGTGTTGCTTCCCCATCGTGCCCAAGGAAACCAACAATCTGACGCCACCGATGCACTACGAGACGCGGTACAACCAATATCGCAAGGTGTCCGACATGGACTATAACAGCGGACTCTGAACAATCGTCACCACTTTGTGATGATTTATTCAATCGTACCCAAAAAGGCTGTCCATTTTTCGCCGCTTATTTTGGTTTTTTGCATCTTACTTAAATGCACAAAACTGTTCATTATTTGCTAATCGAAGCAATAACAAAATCAGCTGCTCAAAATTAGTCAAGGTTTTATGTGCTGAGATTGAGTGATTGAAAGAAGTGCAGCAGTCAGGTAGCAACAGAGCTATTACTATACTCTCTTTAATTATACTAAGATTGAAAATATGCGGCTTACTACAAAAATCCACTCTAAGTCAATTTGCGCCAGCGTTCAGTCATTATTTTGGATGTTTCGTCTAGTCTTTTTTAGCGTTTTTCCTATTTAAATAATTTTTATTGACGACTGCCTAATGTGTAATGCGTGTGTATTTAAGGAAAATAATAATCAAACTTTCAACTAACAAATTGCATTTTCACTCCAAATTAGTGTCAAAATTACATCACTTTCAAAGGCGGAACAGAAAATTGGAATTTTGTACCATCAGTTTTCAGGGAAATGGTGATCAGAAATCACATATTGTGAATCAAAATCTTGTTCCATGTAAACAACCACTGGAACTTCCGAGGCCGTTTCAATTTCTAAGTCATTGGCTGACGGTCCGAATTCTCCTCTAGCCACTTGGGCAATAGTATCTTCGAGCGTCTCTGGTTCTGCAAAAATGCGACGTGGTTCAACCAGAATTTGTTCGTTTGAGTCGGATGTTTGCACAACTTCCTCAATTATTGATTTCTGATGGTCCCCTGCCTTTTTGCACCATTCTCTAGCAGTCCTGAGGTTGGGGATGCAGTTTCTAAAGGCAGAGTGTACATATTTGTAGGCAATGGACGAGGCCTTGTACATCCGACAGCTGAACTCGCGGATCTCGGGCTCGTACTGGCTATTGTGGGGCGCTTCCTTGTTTAGGTCCTCGAAGAAGCGCCTCATTAGCAGGTAGGTCAGTTTAGGCACTTTGCCTTCCAGCTCGTCAATGACCCAAGATTTGGCAGTCAGTTTGGCATTTAGTTTTTCCACCTCGTCCTTCATAGTCTTGTAACGCTTCTCATAATACCTGGAAATTTCAAACAATAAGAATTTTTGAATGACGATTTTGATTAATTGATTTTATATGATTATGTGAGTAAAACTTGGTCAGTAAAAATATGAATTGCTAACTTACACTTCTTTTCGACGACATTTTTTCAGCTTCTCGGTCATTTCTCTCTTTGTGTTTTCCAGAGCATTGATTCTCCTCTCTTGGTTTATCAATCTCTGCTGAGCGGCAAAGTTTCCAGTTTTCACCATTTTGAAAGAAGATTTTGCAATTTTTGCATCCTCTCTCATCTTCAGCATTCGAACCAATGTGGGCGTCATTGTGGCATCAAAAGACCTAGACTTGTTGATGCTTTCACTCAGAGCGTTGATCAGAGTTGCCACACATTCCTCTTCCTTTGTGGCGCAATCCTCCTTTTTAATGAAAGTGTCGAACCAGATGTTTTGAATGGTGCGGGCAACCCTTTGTGGCTTGACACAGATCATGTCTGGGGCTGGAGATCCTTTCTTCCGCTCTGCAGACGCCTGCAGGCCTTCGGGGTCTCTGGTCAAGTATTGTTCAAGTGGGAAATCTGGATATTTCTTCGTAATAACTTTCACTTCAGAAATATTCAAGCTTGAACCCTCTTTTCCTTTAGAGGTTGATGCAGTAGAAATTGCGGCTAATCGGAGACGCTCCCGTTCTTGTTCCTCTTTCAACTGATCATCCAACTTCAGCGTAGAGTTTGTCTGCAGGTTTGAGCTAGCTTTAATGATTAGCTTTGTTCCAGGTCTCAGTTTGGCATTGTCTAAAAACTCTGCAGTAGGGACGACATAGCAAACTTTGCCATTCCTAACAGTTTTCAGGGCAAATCTCTTCTTAGTTGTTGAGGATTGAGCTAGAGAAAGTGGCTGGGAGACTTTGACTAAAGAATTTTCAACTGGAGTAACAGTTTGACTGGCAGTAGAAGGAACAGAGGCACTAGAAGTAGGAGGTTTTGTTGCAACTACAGAAAGTACTTGAAGATTTTTTTCTGTTGCAGGTGTTCGCACGTAAATTTTGGTATTTCTGAAGGGGTTTTCCGCTGGGGCTTTTTTTGGTGGGGTTGATCCATCTTTTGTTGGAGACTTGGCATACTAAAATATTAATTTAAATTTTATGTTTATTTGTAAGCTAAATAAATTCATTAATTACCATGTGATCTACCAGCAACTTATTGTACTTGTCAGTTTGTATCTGGGGAGTTGGTGATTTTGCAAGGCAGCTTTCGGAGTCTTTCTGAATATCCTCAGTGGCAGGTTCAGCAGGTCTTTTGCCCTAGTCACAAAGATAAAATTAAAAATTTTAAAATTAAATAATATCTAAATTTACTGCTTGAACCAATGGCAAACCCTGCTGGTGAGATTGTTGTTCATTCGAGCTGTTAAGAAGTTCTTTTCTAACTTCAATTCGGTAAGAATTTGGATCTTGCTCCTAATGAAAATGTGTACGATTAATAATTATACAATGAATGTTGGAATAGACATGAGAAAATAATACAAAATAATCATAAAAAAATTCCATTTTGAATAATGTAATAGAGAATAATTATTGAATTTAAAATTATTGTTAAATTTGTGAATACATATTACCATTTTATTAAAAGACACTCCAGTTTCAGTTGGCTTCTGTGCATCTTTGGATCCATCGCTAGCTTTGGCAATCTTGAACTGAAATTAATAAAATAACAGGTTTGAGAACTTTGTACGAATAAAAAACTTTGAACCTTACAGCCTTGGAAACACCTAGCTCAGAATCAGCTTGTCTCTTTAGACTTTCTTGCTTTTTCTCCATCTGGAATTTGAAAGAAAAAAAACATTAACTTATTTAAAACGATGTGGATTGTGTGGGTCAAGAAAATAAAAATTTATGAATTTATGAGATTCTATTTGCAAATTGAAACTAAAAAATGCGCTAAATACACATTTTCATTGGAATTCGCAAAGATAATCTTACAAAATTCTTGTCTTGCCTGGGAGATTTTGCAAAATTCGGTGTTGTACGACTGTGCTTGATTGTTGCGACGAAAAGGTCAGAAACCTATCTTACCTGTCGTCTTTTTTTGATCAAATTCCTTGTTTACGTTTCACATCTGAGAGCCACGCCCCCTTCACCGTGTCAGACCCAGTCAGACTTGTCCGCGTTCGAAACTCGGCAGCCGCTGCTAAATAAATTCGGCATTTCTGCATCATTTTCGCTTTCGTCGGCAACCCTCGTTTGAAAAAGGACAAGAACAATAGAAAACACCAAAAATCCAGGTGGTTGAATCAGAAATCATCAATCATTCGGTTATTTATGGACGATTTGATCCCGCGATAGGAAATTTTTGTGATCGCACTCTTGCGCCCGATTCAAGGATTAATTGATTGCGACGTGATTGCAGCAGCAGGTGAGTGTTATCATCGTGTTTTCCATGCTTTATAAATTTTGTCTCTGCTAAAGCCGGGCCTCCTTCATGTCACGTATGCCAGTATTTTTTAATCGGCTCGTGCGATGGGCCCGGCGTAAATGCGAACAAGGCCCGACCGATCGATGTCAAACGTCAAAATCAAATAGATCAGGCTGACGAAGAATGTGAATGGCCTAAATTTTAGAATGGACTGACTAGGTCCCATTAGGTGCTGACGACCTCTGAGAGCACAATATTACTTATTAGACGCTTCATTTTCATTTCAATTAAAGCAAGTTTCTTTGTCCAGCCGATTATTACAAAATTTAATTGCAAAATTAAAAATTTATTTTGTAAGAACGTCAAGCTTATCGAAAACCAACACCAATACATATATTTTGATTTATGCATTTGCAAGATGTTTGATCTGCAATTATTTAATCAATATTTTTTCATAGCTTATTAATGCTGAATGATATTAAAAATATAGGTCAAAATTTATTACATATTGATTCTATTATTACATTAAATGGATCAAATGTGATGAATTTTTAATATCATCTTTTATCAGGCAGAAAATTAAAGTCAAACAAGAATTATAGATGTTACTTTCTGATTCCAATTATTTAATTAATAATAGTCTTTTATCTGATATTATGACAATGTAAATTACCAACAATTACTGAAATTTTAAGTTTATCTGTATCAGGTAGTTGGATAATTTTTCGTTAATCATGGGTGTTTTAGTAGCCATAGACTGCGTTACCCATTCTTCTCTTTTTTTCACTTTTTTCTACAACTGGGTAATTTATGGAAATGCGAAACTAAAAATTTACATCAACATAATTTAATTATTAAGGATTTTTTCATTATTCAGACACATTCAAAATATGCGTTCGTAACAGCACGTTCTCGGGCTTACATGAAATAGAATTAAGCGCCCACTCGTGACCCATAAGCAAACACAAACGCACTGCAATTACTGCACGTGTTCGAGAAGGGGCGAGTGCCGCGGAATTATCAGGATGAGCTAGAAAAACATGCACGGCTCAGCCGCGGGGGTTGTATCCTGCACCCCTGCCAGATAGACCTCTGCATTTGTGCTGAATACAATAGTTTATTTTTCCAATAAAAATTTCTTTTCTGGATGATTAAAAATTGAAAAAAGAAATACCAATTTTGAAAGGGGGGGGGGGATGTATAGTCGCTCAGAATTCTTTGGCTAATTAAACGTTTAATAATCGCTTATAGAAGTTTTTACACCCAAATTTGTGTAAATGTTGATTCAACTAAAATTACTGGAACGAAAAATTACGGGCAGTGAATTTGTGATTTTATATTTATTGATTGTCTCTATTTAATTCCTTAATTAATTATTTAATTTTTATAGGTTTAATATTAATTAGGTAATTTTAAACTAATTTAATAAATGTTTAGAAAAGTTAAACAAAACTAAGAGTTTTCTTATTTATTACATACTTTTTCAATTATAATAATAAATTTTCTAAATTTCCTTATTTTGTTTTTTAAGTTTTTGTTTTTGAAATTTTTGTAATTAATTGTTACACGCAAATTTATTTAGCTCATTCTTTTTCTAATAAGCATATTTTATTATTCTGATTTTACTTGTAATGAAGATGGCAAAAATTAAAAAAAAAATCATGTTAGAAATTAATAGAAAGATTATTCAATAGAACATTCTTGAAAATTCCGATTTATTTGTAGTGCATATTGAATAAATTATGAAATTATGCGCCTATATTATAAGCAAGCCGTCTCTAACAATAAGTCTGACTGACAAGAGCGACCCTTCTCTCGAGCATCCCATTTTATTTATTGTCGAGGGTGGGCTCGATTTTCGATGCTCCATTTTTGTCGCCGCCGGGGGTGTTAATGAACGGGGCGGCGAGTTTTGTTATTGAGTTGTAATTATTGCAGATCACGCAGCGTGAAGTTGCGTCGTGTTTGCACCTCTCTCTGCGTCCGTTGATGGGGCAGCTGTGAGCTCATCCGACCCCTATTCAAAATAAATAAAAGACGCACACGTGAAATCTATCTGCGCGCGCCCCCTCAATTGCACCCCCGATTGTTGCAGCTTCACTCCATTAAAGGGCAATTATCTGATATACGCGGCCACAATTGTGCAAAGAATTGAGAGCAGATCGCCCTGATTGCAATCGGCGAAACTGATCTCGCTTTGTTGTGATGCGTTTTACAAAAATAATTAAAATTTTTTAATTTTTATTATCATTTTTATTTTTAAAAATACACACTGTAGTAGGCTTATGATATTTTAAGGTAAAATTAAAAGTTTGAATAAATTTACTCCCAGAATTTTATTTTAAATATAGCAAAATATAATTTATAAAAATATGTTTGCGGCGCTTATTGTTAAATTTTTATCTTACGATTAACGAATAAATTTGTTTAATCAAAAACAATATTATAGCTCTACCCACCAGTTTCAATCACAGCCTTCAGGCTTATTTCATTAGCTAGAAAAAATTTAAAAAAAGATAATATTAAAAAAAACGTGCAAAATGAATAAAATAATATAAATATTGTATCCTTCTAGATTGACCTAGATCTTCATAATTATTCAAAATCATTTTCATGTAAATTCTTAATTTAAAAAAAAAAAAATGATATTTTCAATCAAAAGAAGTCAAATTTTTATTTCTCTTTCTCGCTATTTTAATTAATTTTAAGCCCAGAACTGTCAAAATCCACTGTTAGACTTTTCTTATGCGGTAACTAAATTTCGCGGGTACATCTAATTCAAATAATTTAAAATTATAAAATAGAAGATAAATAATGAATATTTCTTTATATTTGAATTTAAAAAATATGAGACAATACCAATGGCATTATTTAAATTAAAACCAAATATTAAATTTATAGCCAACAAACAATAAAAATAAGAAAGATTGCTATTCTCGGCTTGATAACAAATTCCCTGCGAAAGGTCACAAAAATATGGCCATTTGATTTTATTGCTTGTCAGCTGGGCCAACATGTAGGTTCTATATCAATTTAATTATGAGTGTTGGTGATAAGAGGCAGCTTTCCAATGTTTACCCTAATATTATTGCACCAGAAGTGCCGTTGGTGTTTATTAAAAGCCATAAATTTGGCTCTTTCCAGCAGCGACGCTGCTTGTACAATGTTTACAAGGTGCATGTTTTGGCACTGATTATCAGTTTTTCGATTGAAAGGGGTGCATTATCAAAGGAAGCCGCTGCTCATCAGCCTGAAAGTCTTCAATCATGACTGATTAATTTTTTCTGATCAAAATTTTATGAATTTTATGTGATAAAAGTTTACTATATATTTTCGAATTAAACACACCGTGACATTTAGTTTAAATAAAACATTAAATTCAACTTTTCCTCAATTCAATAAAATGGAAATTAAAAAAATAATACAAAGATTGTAATAAAGCAAAACAAACAAAAAAATTTGGATCAGCATTATTTGCCCTGGGCTTTATTTTAAGTCTGCCAAAAACCCCTGTGTTGACGAATAGCCATGAGCACCCCCGGTCGCTCCACCCCTGCGCACGGCTCCGCCCCAAAAGGGCGCATGCACCCGCACCGTGCGGAGGCCGCTCGGTCGGGGGCAGTTTCAAAAGGGCCGCGAATCGGCCGGGTCGCGCTCCGGAATCGACTGCCATCGCAAAACTCATGTGGAAGAAGTACAATCCAAACTAAGCAAGAATGTTCAGCATGGAGAACTTGGACATGGAGCACAGGTCCTACGGGGTCGACTCCTTCGACCTGATGGAGGCGGCTCTGTACGCAGAAACCACCTCCAGCAGCAACTCGAGTTGCAGTGCCGCGTGCCTCAGTGGCTTCATGGACGACTACAGCGATCAGGTAATTTGAATATATAATGTAATAAATTATGTGCTATGAAAAAAGTTTAAAAAATTTATAATCATAATGCACATAATGATTTTAAAATTTTCCATATGATTTTTAAACTTAAAAAAAATATTCTTACCCTTAAATTTTAAGTTTAAATTATATCTTTTTTTTAATAAAGAGTACACCCAAAGTAATCAATATTGTATTGCTATTGTTATCATTTATTATATTTTTTTTTAATATTTTGTCATGTAAACCTTATAAAAGAGCACAGATTTCAATTATTTAAAATTTAAATTATTAATATTGTTCTTTTAAATTAATTAAAAATAAAAACTTCGACCCCCTTCTAATATGGAAAGATTGTTTTGTGATCGTTGTAAATCCCATGAATAATATTGTAACACAATTCCTTGTTCTGAAAAAATCACTGCAATAAAGTTTTTAAGAGCAGGATATTGTTTATCTGAAACAATAAACAACTCACAAAAACCCATCGAGGAAAAGCCGATTTTAAATTCAAATCACCAAGTTTTTCAAATTAAAAAATAATAATAAACAAAACGTGCATTTTACATAATTAATTTAATTACCTATAATCATAAAAAATTAACCGTGCACATTTTTTTTTTTTTTATAAAATCAGTGCTCTAAATTGTTCCTTTTTTTTACAAGTTTATGATCAGTTTCAGTTTTCTTGAATTCCACCAAGAGTGTTTAACTTTAAATTTTAATTTTATAAAATTAAGATATTAATTAATTTGCAAAACTAAATCCATCTTAATAATGAATAACAGGAGAACGCTTGTATGGTGCGACGACGACTGCGCAAGCGCAAGTGTCCTCAACAGCAAGTCCAGCAGCGTCAAGCGGCCAATCTACGCGAGCGCAAGCGCATGCAGAGCATAAACGATGCGTTTGAAGGACTGCGTGCGCACATTCCCACATTACCTTACGAAAAGCGGCTGTCCAAGGTGGACACTCTGCGGCTGGCCATTGGTTACATCAACTTCCTCTCCGAACTGGTGCGCGCGGACAAGGCGAACGCCAACTCTGAGAATGGGACAAACGCAAATGGAACCACCGTGCCCGGACTTTCACACCCGATCAAAGAAGAGCCAAAGAAAATTATAATTAGAGGTTCGTCTTTTAATTATTCTACATTAATAATACATACAAATTTAAATTTACATACTAAAAAACTAAAATAAAAAATTAATTTTAGATTATTTAAATGTATGTTATTTTCAAAGTTTAAATATTTACAAATTTCTAAAACTCTTCCTTCCCCTTCAATATCCAGCAAAATATGTGTGTTGCAGGTGCCAGCCGTAATAGTTGCTCATTCCCCCTTTAAACTAGTTGCCAGTGCGCGCTTTGTTATTATTTCATTACAGCTTCCCCTAATTATCCCTTTAAATTGTGGCCCTCGGCGTGTAGCAGTGAAAAAATCCCTCTCGGAAAATGTTTTTTAAATTAATTACAAACAGCGACATTTCCTGTTCCATTTTGCACTTGCAATGACGGATGATTCAAGGGGGTCGAAGGCCAGGTGAGCCGGAAGTTCCACCCTCGACCAAAATCATCCCTCAATAATGCAATTACTCATTTCTAGACAATTGACGACCCCACATAGTTACTGATTTGTTTTTAATTCTGAAAAATAAAAATCGAATTCCAAATAAATGTGAAAATTTTGTTTAATCTTATTCCAGGCATTGGCTCTATCCAACATTCTCTCTCTTGGACAAACGATCGCGAAAGAATCACAAATGGGATTATGTTCGCCAAAGTTTGGACGCCAGAAGACCCAAGGTCGGTTCCTGGAGGTGCACCTACGTCTTCCAAGCACGGCCAGTCGTCACACTACCCAGACTATAATGTGGATTGACAAATGAGTGCGCGACTTGAAAATTGAAGACTTCGAACAAATCTTTCTGGTCAAGGATTATTGTAATCTAGTCTCTCGCTGTGAATATTATGTACTACAAGAATTGTAATTAATCTATGTCGCTGTTAATGATTGCCCGCATAAATGATGCTGAGATTATTCCCTATGTAAATAAATTAAGTCATTTTTTGCATTTTATTAAAATAAATTTTGAGTCTCTTTCTAAGACACTGGAAGTTTTTTATTCTTTAATTATTTTTTTAAATAAAATATTTAATTCGTATTTTGTATTTAATGACAAAATTAGTCAAAATCTTAAATTCATTTAAAATTATCACGATGTATAATAATGAAGTCCCTCTTTGTGATCCCTGTTCATGATTGAGTTCATTAAGCAGTCGCGGTCCATTTCACCACAAACGCGAGCACTGCGAATTGATGACACGCTATATCGTCCGAGTTCGCAAGATATTATGTCCTCTCGAGCGGGAGAGATGAATGAGGTGATAATTCCGGGAAATGAAACCGCCCTCTCCGCGGACAAAGGGCGCGACGAATCGGTCTGGTTGCACGCTTGACTGGCGGCGGCGGATTATACAAGTAAAAAAGAGAGGCGAGATGAAGTGGACCGCACGGCTCGGGGGTTGTTTATGCAGGGCGCGCCGCACCTGGCCCCCCTCGACCCCGCGTGCCATTGTGTGCGGTTCTTTATTATTTAATCATCAGCCGGGCGATAAGATTAATTCGGGCTGCAAAAGAGCTCGGAATATAAAAAATAGGATCGGAATCCGCTCGTGTGTGGGTTTTAATTGAAAATGAATGGATCTGGCCGTCGGGATTAGAAGGGAAGATGCAGATAGGCGTGGGGGTTGTTGTTTGCACTGACGGATTCGATTTGAGTTCTGTTTGATTTTAATTGTCTGGGGATTAGAGTTGACAGAGAGTGAAAAGCTCTCTATTCCTCTTTGCAGACAGATATTGTGTTGAAGTAGAATATATATTATTCCGAATTATTCATAATTTTGTTCACCCGTCATCAATTCAAGGAAAATAAATAAATAAAAAACGTATTTATGATTAAATAAATAATAAATATTTAAATGTTATATTTAAAATTTGACCATTCAAATTTCTAACTAGTTGTTATTATCAATTTTAGTTTCACAAACAAAAATTGTATAATCATTTTCCATGCTATTTCGTTGCCTTTTTCATAAAATGACCTATAATTTGCAGTCATTCCATTTATATTACACGCGAGAAGAATAAATAATAATATATTTCATTGAAAATTTCCATTTTATTGGTCATGGGGTTTGTTATTTATTTTTATATTTAATATATTTGCTTAGAGTGCTTTTGAAATGGTTTTTTTTAATCTAAATAAATCAAAATAAGAAATTTAAAGTTTTTTCGTATCAAATTTTTCAAATTTAGAATTAGTGCAGATCTTGTGCAAAAATGGTACGGATATGGTGCAGAACCAGTTCAGCTGTTCAGCATCTGTTCTACACAAGTTCTGCACCATATCTGACCAAGGGTCTAATTAAAGATGGAATGGTTCCATTTATATTTTATTTTTCATGCTTACCCATTCTATTTTGTTGCCTTTCTCATAAAATGACTTATATTTTGCAGTCATTCCATTTCTTATTCATTACGTCAATTTCAATTTTCTTGGTCATGGCGTTTGTTATTTTTAAATTGTACATTGAAATTATTTGTTTACAGTGCTTTTGAAATTATTTTTTTTATTCTAAACAAATCAAAATAAGAATTGAAAAGTTTTTTCGTATCAAAATTTTTACAAAATTATAATTAGTGCAGATCTCGTGCTAAAATGGTACAGAAATGGTGCAGAACCGGTTTTCAGGTGTTCTGCATCAGTTCTACACAAGTTCTGCACCATTTCTGAACTAGTTCCATTTTCATTTATAAAATATTAATTTAGCTTTTAATATAATTGTATTTTCTGTTTTCTTGAAAATGAGAATATACAGGAAAAAAGGAAACAATTAATAATTCATAATTCCAAGTTCTGTAAATTGATTCAAACTGAATAATTTCCTTACTTTTATACTTGGTCACAAAACACTTTTCAGGCGTTAACCCGTCATTATATGCTTCCGATTGTCACTTAACCCGCGGTGCAGTGGGGTCGAGAGAGTGGCAAAGGTGACTTGTGTTTATTTAACGTCCACTCTGACAGATGGCTGCCGCCCCGCGAAATCAATACCAGTGGAAAAGAAATTAAACATTAATGTTTGCATTCACTTCGAGGCCGTGCAGGGCAGAGAACGCGGTGTCAAAGTTGTCAAACCGCAAGAGGCCGTAAGGGACAAGGGTTAATTTTTAGCGTAAACAGCTGCCATCACGCACCGCGCATATATATTTAATCAGAGCAACAGAGATTTCGACGAGAGGGCACACGAATGCGCACCGTTTTCAGCAAAGAGGTTATCAACGAGATGTAAATAGTGGGATTGGCAAAGTTTTAATCGCGCACGTTTCAAATTTACATTGCAGAGGCGGGTGCGTTTAAAAAAATTTCATATCTGGGTTTAATTTGTTGACTTGCGGCAAATCATTTCACTTTTTGAAAATCCTTAGTCAGGGCAGGTTGAGGCATAAATTAAATACCCATGTAACTTATAAAAAATATATATTAGATTGATTTAGATACATCTAAATCAATCTAAATGTATAAATTTTCTCTTATTAGAGAAAAGTTTAATCGTTTTTTATTTTTTTATTCTTCCAATAGTAGAAAAGGCCTGTAATAAAATAGAATATTTTAAATAAACTTAAATGCCGTGCAAATGCGCAGTCAAGTTTTTAAATTTATATAAAAATTTAATTCATGAAATTCAGCTCTTCATTTTTCATGTTGGTGCCGTTCAAAAATGAAAAATGTGAAGTTAATTTTGAATTATTTTGCAAAGCAGTAACAGAAAATGTGACAATAAAAAAAAATAAACACACATTTTACGACATTTTACTTTTGCTTCTAAAGAGCTTCGTCAAAAATTCAGTTGAAGTAGGATTTGAATCAGAATTAATCAAGAATTAAATTTGTCTTCCTTGAAAATTATATCAAATTTAAAAGGATGCTCGTGAAGTGAAATTCCTTCGTTTTAAATGTCTTCTGGAGTTATCGACGCGCGTCGCACCCCCTCTGGGAATGTGGACACGTGCTGGCGGTGCGCCGTTGTATAAACGTCGACACGTTTCGCGTATTATTCCACTGCGATTCCGCCGCAGCTAGAGCAAATCGTCGGCGTTACGCCGCCTTTGTTCGGCAATTATTCTTCGTTGAGAAATTCGATACTTGAATTAACCTCAATTGGCACAGCAATAATGTTTTCTTTCGGACCAGACCTCGCCCGATTCAGTGACAATAGAGATCTGTACGCGTGCATGGGATTTATACCAGACATTTTTTTTTTTAATTTTGTAAACCATAAAATTCTCTAATAGAATTTATTACAATAATTCCATGACATAAAAAAGTCAATTGATTAACAAAGTTCAAACAACAATTGGAAATTGAGCATAAAATGCATTCTAAAGTGAAATTATCTTACATATTTGGCAAGACAATAAAGAAAATTCTAAATTTTGAGTAATCAATAAATACAAAATTGAACAGGTTGAATTAAATTTGCTAATATAATTGTGTTTCTGCACTTTGAATTTTCTTTCTTTTTTCTCTTTCGCAAATTTCTATTGTTAAATGCTCTCTGAACTCTCTTTCAGTATAAAATAAATTTAATATTTTGGAAGCAAATTTTTCTGCAATTTTTGATGAGTTGTTCAAGACGGTTTTAGATTAATCCAGTATTTGAACTGAAATATCATTAAGTGGAAAATCGACAGCTCGTGTGTTCTTTTTCCGGGGCGCGTCGTGGCGCGGATCGATTGCGCCAGGCGCCATGTGCCCGTTTTCTCACGCGCGCCGGGGCCGCTTGCGTCACGCTCGGAGCCAACCATTCAGGTGGCGCGATTCTCAGCATCTGCCAAACCCACCCTCTCTCACCCTCGGTCGCTTCGCACACAGGACAATAATACGCGGAGAGGAGCTTTGCTGTTGGGGAAGGAAAAGGCTTTTCCGGGGATGCGCCGACTGAGAGGAAAAGATCTTTGCAGCTTGATGGCTACATATTGTGCTCGGCAAATTGCCTGCACTCTGTGTCTCTTCACTTGCTAGAGTATTTTATTATGTACATACACAACATAGTTGGAGTTGTAAATAATTCAGTCCATAATAAAGTTCGATAGAAATTTTTATTTAAGCAAATTAATAATCAACGAAATATAAAAAAATTTCAATTGACTGCAATCTAATATTTGGTTGTACTATTGTCAAGAAGTTTAGCTGAATTTTAAACTTCAGAGCTGAGAATATTTAAAAATTTAAGTGAAATATTTGTAAATTCAAGCATAGTAGAAGAATTGAATTATATGAGGTTGGTGAATTTATTTTATAATTGCTCCTGTATTTAATAAAATTCTTTCTATGGGTCCTTTTATACAACAATTAAATGATTCACTCCCAACAATTACTTTTCTTTCATTGAAATTTTTTTGTGAAAATTTGGAGAACTTCACATCAAAAGTAAATCAACAGCTATAATGCTGAATTTGAGAGTCAGAGTTTCATTTATTAGCTAGGAAAACACGTAGAACATTATTTTCTTGTCCTAATGAAGAAACGATTCAAAGACCCATTAAAGAATCTATTTCAATTTAAACTTAGTAAAATGAAATCAAATTTATAGTATAATCCGTGACTTAACTCACTGTTATTGTCTTCAGACCTTAATTTTATCCTTTGAATTTTTCTTTAATTGGGGCTGCACTTTTTTTTATCTCTTTCCAAACTATAAATTTTTATTTTTGAGAAATTTAGCATTCTAATGTATTTTTTAGTTTAGAAGTCGTGAGTGGAAATATTTTAGCTATTAATTATTAATTGTCTTTTAATGAATTTGAGCTGGTGTGTGAATATTGAAAATACAAAATTTATCCTTAACAAGTTGTTTGATAAGTTTCCCGCAGTATGAGATAAAATCTATTAAAGGAAGGAAAATGAACTGCACAATCCTGAAATATTTATAATATCTTTTTAATAATTCTATATTATATTTTGCTCAAAGAACACTGGATGAATTTTATTTTTTTCCGTCTCTCAAAATAAAATGATAGTTTTGTGTTATCGCAGGTTAATATAAACTGCAGATTGAGCTTGTCATTATTTGCAGTCGGCAATCTGCACACTCGGTGCAAATTATGCAATTGAGCAGCTCTATAGAGCCGATTAGCCAGAAGGCGCGTGGTGGGAGTCTCTTCGTGGAGCTGGAAATAAGAAAATTGTGTGCATGCAAGCGGCTTTCTGCTTTACCCATTCAGTCGCTCAAGTCGGTGTGTTACTTATTGCGGAGAATAGTATAGTGTGACCTAGCGACCGCAGAGGCTCTCTCGCGTCTGTAGCAACAGAAAATAATCATAAAAGTCGGGGTGCACGCACGGAATAAGGAAAAGAGACGTGAGTTTTAAGAAGGAAAAGAAACCAAATAAAATATAAAGTCTTGAAATTATTTAAATTTAATTTTTGCCGCTTTTGTCAATTTTATCTCAAAATCGATTTCCATTCATCACTGATTTATTTTTTAATTACTTGTAAAATTTCTTTTTAATATCTTTTTGTTTTATTAGAAAAAAATTATTATTCAATTCAACTTTTAATCCACACTGAGCTAGTGCTCTCTCAATCATATACGCGCACGTCAAAAGTCACTCTCGCTGTCCTTCAGCGTGGCTATTCCCGGCGGTTATTCTGCCTTGTTTGCTCTAAAAATAAGTACGCACGACACTTTCAGCATTTCGTTGCGTTGCAAACACAAATTATTACTTTTATAATAATTCCGCACTGACCAATTTAGTTTTCCTCTTTCAGGGAGTGACGTACGTACAAGTGAATCATGATTCTTATTTTGTATTTTGCTCCACATTTGATCAGCGCTGAATAAACAATAATTATAACACCAGAGTGAACTTCTCTTGTACTTTCTTGATGTCGGGGTCATTATCGGTTATGTAGAATAACATTTTAATGCGCATTATTAATTTGATAAAATTATGATATTGTTGTTCTGCTCTGTCGTTGATAAGGGCTTAAAAATTTTCAATTTTTTCCCCATAGTCTGATTAAAGAGTTAAAATTTTCAATGCTGAAAATGAAATTACAAATTTATTAACATTTTTGAACTGCATCATTTTAGCTGATACCTAGTTTATAAATTTACACACAGCATCAGATTTAGTAACGGGCGTTGATATAGGTTTGACTTATTTCCGGCTTGAGACCCGGTTGTGCAGATTGTTGATTTTCATTACAAAAGCCCCAGACGTTGCTTAATTAATCGCGGTTCTTATCTGTGAATTGATAAAAACTAATCAAATCTCTCTTTGTAATTCAATCATTTCTTCTCAAACATCAAAGTCTAGTCGCAAACAAAAAATGATTTCATTTAATTATCACGATTCATGGGACAAAGTTTCACCCAAACAATTTAATTCACACCCTTGAATTATTTTTATCTTTTTCACCTTTGTTCTGTTTTTCTCTAATCAGCTCGATATTGATTGATTGATAATTTAAATATGCGTAAGACAAGCCCTCCCATCGCACGTGCTAATTAATAAGTCATGCTTTATCGGATTTTCACTAATGACCACTCATTTCTGTTGGCAGAATTTTAGCAACTCTGGACGGCGGGTGTCTACTTTTGCAATACGTGGATCAGCAGCTTGGAAATGGACGCGGTCGTGTACGCCGACCGCTTTTCGTGGCAGGACTATCTGGTGTTCAGCCTAATGCTGCTGCTGTCGGCTGGCGTCGGCGTCTACCACGGCTTCTTCGGCCAGCATCAAAAGTCCACCACCGAGTACCTTCTTGGCGGGCGCAATCTGCGAGCTTTTCCAGTTGCAATGTCACTCGTCGCAAGGTATAAAAGAATTTGACAATACAAATAACTCTCATTTAATTAACAAAAATTAATATTTTCACGGTTTAATCTAAATATTTTCTCAAATTTGACATTAAAAAAATTGTAATATTAATTTCATTTTTTATAATATATTTTTCATAATTTAATTTCTTTAATAAGAACCATAATTAAAAAATATTTTGAAGTAGAATTTCATGAGTTAATTGATAGTTTATTGTGATGTTGAATTTAAAACACATTTTTGACTGTTTATTGTTTGAAAAATGCAACAAAAAACGACCCTAAAGCCCAGTGAAGCCCAGATATGAAAAGCAGATTAAAATACTAAAGCAACTAGAATAATATTATTATCATACTTTAGGGGTTTGTGTGATTTTAATTTGATTTTGGGTTTTTCCAGCTACATATCAGGTGTGACCGTGCTAGGAACCCCTGCTGACATCTACAAATACGGCTCTCAATACTGGATAATCGTAGTCGGCATCGCCTGCATGGGCCTCACCGTCGCCAAAGTGTTCTTGCCTGTCTTTTGTCAGCTGCAAATCAAATCTTCGTATGAAGTAAACTAATCCAGCTTTTCAATCAAAACAATTGTGTAATTGAAAATATCTTTCAGTACCTGGAAATGAGATTCGATCGAAGGGTTCGGACGTTTGCTTCGGTCTTGTTTGTCTTTGACGAGGTAATTTTCCATGACGTTTTTAATCAAACTATTAAATTCAAAATAATCCACTCAGATTGTCTTTCTGCCCATTGTGATCTACGTTCCAGCTCTTGCATTCAGCCAAGGTAATTTTCTTTTAAATCTCACTCGGTAAAAATTTTGAGTAAAATTTATTTAAAACTTTAGTGACTGGAGTTGGTATCTACCAGATAGGAGTGGTTGTGTGTGCTGTTTGCATATTCTACACTGTATTGGTAAAAAATTTAATTAATTGCATAATCTAATTTAATATTGAAATAAAACATCACCGATTACAGGGCGGTTTGAGGGCTGTGGTATGGACTGATACATTGCAAATCATTCTCATGTTTACATCTGTGCTGATCGTTGTTACCTTAGGCACAGTTTCTATTGGTGGCGTCCCAGAAGTGTGGGAGCGGTGCCAAGAAGGCGACAGACTAGAAATTTTTAAGTAAGAGCTAAATTTGTTTATTTTTTTGTTACATAACATTGACAATCTTTATTGCAGTTTCAATCCAAGCCCTTTCGAGAGGCACACGGTGTGGAGTTTGGTCATCGGTGGCTACTTTTACTGGACCTCATTCAACGCTGTCAACCAAACCATGGTCCAGCGATACATGTCTCTTCCGTCATTGAAGCACGCTCAGATGTAAGCAACATTTCGAAGTAATGCAATAAATTTGATTTCAAATTATAATCTAGTGCTATTGGAATTTTTACTGTGGGCATCATTGGCATAGTGAGCATTTGTTGCTACACCGGCCTGCTGATCTACGCCACCTACCACCAGTGTGACCCCCTGTTGTCTCATCAGATTGAGGACTACGACCAACTGCTGCCTCACTTCATGATGAAGACTGTGGGTCATCTGAAGGGTCTCCCAGGACTTTTCATGGCGGGAATATTCAGTGCTGCTCTGAGGTTGGATTATATAATTATATTTTTTTAATTTTTAAAATGCTGATTTTTTTGTCTTTGCAGTTCGCTTTCGACAATTCTCAACTCTTTGCCCTCTGTGATCTTGGAAGATTTTCTGTTCAGCTGCTGCAGCTTGAAACTTTCAGAGTGGTGGGAGCAATTCATTGCAAAAGGACTGGTTCTGTTTTTTGGAATTTTGGCTGTGGCTTGCCTATTCATCGTTGAGCCACTGGAGGGTATTTTGGAGGTAAAATTAAATGTCTTGGTATATAAAAGTTCCATGTTTAAATTTTTGTTCAATTTTAGGTTACGACAAGTCTGACTGCAATTGCTGCAGGAACATCATTTGGAATGTTTGCCCTTGGCATGCTCTTCCCTTTCGCTAACGGAACGGTGAGGATTCTTGCTCATTTAAATTAAAAAAAAAAAAAAAAAAAAAAAAAAAAAAACAGAACAATGCCGTGAAAATTTGAAATTATTTTGCACACTTTTTTATCTTAAATTGACTTAAAATTTTGGTTCAGGGTGCTTTATGCGGAGCTGTCGCTTCTTCTGTGCTGGTTGGCTGGTTGTCCCTGGGCGCCCACTTTGCCTCTCTAAATGGATTTTCAAGGCCAATCTTGCCCGTCTCAACCGAGGGATGTAATATCAATGAAACACTCAATTTCATAACCCCAAGGTACGATTTTTCAAAATATCACCAACTTAATTTACAGACTGATTCCTTTCAGAACAAACGACGATGTGTTCATCCTGTACAAATTGTCATATTTGTGGTTGGCGCCAATTGGTGTGACAACCGTAATTTCTGTCGGTTTGATTGTCTCTTGGTTAACTGGCAAGGAGGACATTGAACTGGCCAATCCAGACCTTTTCTCGCCCGTGATAAAAGGGTTTCTTCCCACACTGGGCCAGCGACGCCAAGCGCCCCCCTCAGAGTGCATCGAAATCAACTCCAGTGCGAAGGAAAGAAACGCTGTAGACGAAGAGGCAACGACTGTCTCCTGAATTTGCTCAAATTCTTAAATAGGGACCATTTTATTTCTCTCTGTTGGCGGCGTCTGGCACGCTAGCTTCGATGCATGACAATATATCATTGAGTGGTCCAGTAGCATAAAATCTGACATTCCAATTGCTGATCATCTGCGAGTGTGATTCATTTTTAATTTTCTTCATCTACGTCATTGATTGACTGATTGCTTAGGATTAGAGCAAGCATTTTGCTTTTGGAGAAGGATTTCGGCCCTCCATAAATATGTGTGTAGGACCTTCTGGCCACTCTGGATGCCAAACCAAATGTGGCTGTTTCCTCAGGGACTGTTGTTTGCATAGAAATTCTTGAACACTACGGTGTCGGTTTTTAGAAGCCCGTTTTTATAAATTAAAAGGAAATTTTTAATCAAATTTGGCAAGAAGTTAATCATATATGCCATGGATTTTGAAAATCTCTAGGCAATAACCCTGTGAGTTGTGACACCAATTTGGCAATGAGTTGTTTGTATTCTAGGTTATTTGTGCACACATGGTTCAGGTAGAGGTGGATTTTTACTTCGATCCACAGAGTGGAAATGTACCATTTTTGTTTATTTTACAAAAGATGGAAAGAGATATTTTTATTTAAATATTGATCTTATTTATTAATAAAAACCTTGCTTAAAATTAAGAGCAAAAATTGTTTTTTTTAAACGTCATGAGAATATCACGGCCCAAACTGTTTTTATCTGATGTGTGCTACTGAGATGCAAAATGTAGGACCTGCTCATATGAATAGAAGTTATCTATACATTGAGTAAACATGTGGAAGGGGTCTATGTTTGCATTATGGTTCTCTTTAAATAAAAATTTCAGGAATTAATGCTTCAAATTATGTTATATACAACAATTCACAGATACAGGTCCATGATATAAATCAAAAATTTAATTTGTCTATTCACTCACGTATTCACAGACAGAATCTAATACAGTTTAATTTAAAGAGTGCAAAACGTGGACCTTTCTTAATTGACAAATTATCTACAAAAACCTTGAACAAATATCAAGGGCTTGGCTGGCTCCATTAAATTTCATTCAGCACAATCTACACGATGGGTGCAGACGCTAGCAAAGTTCATCTGCCTCAGAAGATTTGGAAGAGACCTGAAAACCTTGGTCCGAGGATTTGGTACGAAGAAGGTGACATTGTTGTCCGAGATGTGACCCCTGACCTGAAACCTTTTGTTTTGGAGCACATGGTAAGAAAATTATTATAAATTTTGCTGAAATTAATTTTCAAAAAATTTCACCGTTGAAATTGAAAGAAAAAATATTATTTGAACGACGAACCCATGAATAAAGCTCTGCACACAACTGATGATGAATCGACAACAACGGAGCAAATTTTAATGTGGGAAAATTGTATCTACCCAGATAATGTGAGCATTGCCGCATTGAAAAAAGGAACACCTGGCGCTGATATGGACAAAGGCATGACACAGAATTATTTAAAAAAATAGAAAATAAATTAATTTAAAATAAAAAATTTTTAGTGTCTGTAGAGAATCCTCCAGTTATTGTCGGAGTGAACCAACTTTTTGTTTCGTCAAAAAACGACCCTCCTTTCCCTGATTTCAAAGAGGCCGTGAAAAGTGAAAAACTTTTGCGGTGCCTTAACACGTTCCGTCAAACAAGCCGAATGGTTAATGTTTTTGAAAGGTTCTTGATTTATAGAAAAATACTATATTTTTGGAAAAATATGTATGCTTTCATAATATTGTAGATATGGAGTGGACCACTACATTGACGGCGGAGGAATGTCCGTGTCACCAGAGTGGCGCGGGAAAGGAATCGGGCAAATGCTGGTTCAAGCCAGGTACAACCTGTGCAAGGAAATGGGCATTCCTCTGACGAAGACAATTTTCACGGCAGTGCAGTCGCAAAAAGTAGCTCTGAAGGGTGGTTTTGAGTTGTTAGGGGAGATCTTGTACAAGGATTTAAAAGAACCAGATGGCCAAATACGTTTCCCAGATATGCCTCCTGAACATACGAGGATTATGCTGATGGCAAAAAGGATTGAATAATATTTATATAAGAGAGAGATATTTTTGCCTCCAGTAGTTACAGCAAAATCTCTACAGTGGCGGATTGGCGGTGTCGTTTTGTCACACAATTGAATGACCCTCTCCAAAAAACAAATATTTTTTGTGACAATTTTGTTAAATAAAGAAAAATAAGTCAACGCATTTAATTTTTATTATTCGTGTAACCTTAAAGCAAAGCAAATAAAATTAATTACATATATTAATGAAAACTATTTAAAAAATATTTATATAGTTAAAGTTATATCACATAACTGAAATAATGCATGATCGTGTATTTGCAAAACGTTATATTATGCAAATAATTGAGGCTCTAAAATGCCTCATGCAGTTGCAAACTTTGCAATCTTATCTTTCCATCTGTATAAACTTTTAATGTATGGCGCAGATACGACGATTCTGCTACAGAGAACATTAATCTCTTGAAATACTTTTTTCTTATCAAAACATTGATAAAAAATACCGGTGGCCTCTATAGTTCTGTGTTGAGACTTGAGAGCAGACCTTTGAAACGCTACAATTTGCTTACAAGTTGTTAACCAAATTAATTCATGGCTGAGCAAGGTTGGAGTAGACCTGCAGGTGCCCCTGCAAAAATTTATGCTAGGGAAAATGGCGTGGTGATCCGCGACGTCACCCCGGATTTAGACAATTTCGTCATTGAATTCATGGTAATCTTTTTCTCAGTTTTGACAAAATTTATTTTAATTTCATATTTTAAAAAAGTTAGAATATTTCGCTCGGGACGAACCGTTGAACCGCAGTGTTCAACTCACTGAGGACCCAGACTCCCTTGCCGATTTGATCACTATTTGGAATGATGTCCTGCCCCGAAGAGTGTCTCTCGTAGCTCTGGCCGAAGGCTCTCCAGGCTCAAATCTTGAACCAGGTAATTAAAGATATGAAAAAAAGTATTATATTTTATAGAATTAATATGCACATTTCCGTCTTGTATTTCTTAAGTAGAAGGTGAAAGCAGGCTTTTTTCAGTTTATTTAAAGCAAGAAAAAGTACCTGAGCAAAGTCATTTTTGTATTAAAATTCTACACAACTTAAATAATTATACCATGGTTTTTTTTTAATTCTTAACTTTTCGTTGAATAAAAACAAAAAAATGAATTGAGAATCATCTATTATGTTTATTTTATTATTTCCAATTTGCTAAAAAATTTTAGTAAAATTAATCTTGAATGGGATTAGCTTGCGAATGATCGGCACAATTAATTTTGGAGCTAATTAATAAAATTCCGAAAGTGTCATTCTATCAATCCTAATATTATTTTCTTCGTATTATTTCAGTCAGTCTTTCGAATCCGCCAACAATAATGGGTGCAAACGTCCTGACCGTGAACTGTAAAAGTGACAAAAAATCTACATTCCTTTCACAATTCAGCGGAGCAGCTTTCAAAAAAGTCGGCAGTCTGTTAAGTCAGATAAGCTCTTTGGAAAACATTTTTGAAAGGTATGTATTTCTCGTTATTTTCCTCTCTAAAGAAATAATTATGAGAGATTGTAAGTGTAGATACGGCGTCGACCACTATCTTGACGCAGTGGGGCTTTCTGTGGCGCCGATTTCGCGCGGAAAAGGAATCGGTTTGATGCTGTTGAAAGCCAGAATTGACCTGTGCCGCGATTTGAAAATTCCTTTGACCAAAACCATTTTCACGGCCATCCAGTCGCAAAAATTGGCAGCCAAAGTTGGATTTGAAGTTCTGCAGGACAAGGATTATGATGAATTTAAGGGACCAGACGGCAAAGTGCTCTTCCCAGATATGGCGCCCACCAAGTCAATTCAACTCTCAGTCAGAACTATTCCTTGAAATGAAACTGTTTCAAATAAAGTTGTGTTTCGAATCACTAGAAATATAAAAAAAAAAATGAATAATAATAAAAAATCTTGATATTATTTAAATTTTACCTCTTATGCCAGAATTTTCTTCAAAATCTGCATTTTTTAGTGGGTAACGTTTCCCAGGAAAACCTCCTGTCCTGATTATTTGTGCTGACGAATAAATATTATGAAGTATTTGGGTTGAAAAAGAATTTTGAATAAAAAATTTATTATTGGAGTCTCTATGACTTCCACGGTTTCAGCAAAATCTCTGTTAATGTCAGTGCCGTATTGTGTAGCTAATATTTAAAATATAAAAATTAAAAAAGAAATCAATGCATGTTATCATTTATTAATAAATAAAAGCAAACGGGCTTGAGGCTTTTGATGTGAAAATGAAATCGAGTAACTATTGTCGTTGGCTAATCAGAAATGGTGCCATAAAACTGAACAACAATGCAAACAAAATATAATTGTTGCATCGGGCCTCTGTTAAAATTAGCGTATATTGTGAACTCCAAAATCTTCTGCAAATAATAGTGTACTAGTTATCGCAAAAAAAAAAAAACAATTCCATAGTTACTTACATAAACTCAATATGTATTTGCATAGGGCAAAATGCGGTTATTGGGCCTCGGAGAACATTTAAATCTCTTGGCACAGTTCTTTTCTAAATTCTTATTGTCAAACACTGATAAGGCGGCCTTTATATAGTTCCGTTTTGAGTCTTGAGAGAGTATACTTTTGAAACCCCCGGCCGTCGTTACTGAAAAGTACAATTGAAACATGGCTAAGGAAGGTTGGAGTAGGCCTGCGAGTGCCCCTGCGAAAATTTATTCCAGGGAAAACGGCGTGGTAATCCGCGACGTCACCCCAGATTTGGACGATTTTGTCATCCAACACATGGTAATTATTTTTATCTCAAATTGATTTTCTTGGGACATAAACGTTAATTTAAAATACTACCATTTTTACTTGTAGTATAGGATTTTTGTAGTATGATCTCTGTTAGTAAATCAATTTATTTTCTTTAATTGAATAATATCTAGACAAAGATTGCCCGTTGATGTGTCATTAAACTCTTAATATATTTTTTTTAATTCTCGTTTGTTCTATACAAAAGTTGGAAAATTTCGCTCGGGACTCATCTCCATTGGCTCAAAGTTTTAAACCCGCTGAAGACCCGGACTCCATAGCCGATTTTGCTACTATTTGGAAAAATATCCTGCCGCAAAGAGTGTCTCTCGTAGCTCTGGCCGAAGGCACTCCTTGCTCAAACCTTGAACCAGGTAAAAATATAGGAACAAATAAATTAAAAAATGTAATGTATTTTTATCTCCGAGCCTTAGATTTTTTTCACTTTATCCAAAGAACGGCAACTATTATCTTAAATCTTAAATTATAAATAACAACGCAAATAAAGCTGCTTTAAGCAAATGAGTTTAAAGAAAAGCTTTATAAGGTAGTTGTTCTTTGTTTGCAAATTCTAGATAGAATTTAAATTAAATTATTTATAGATAAAATGAAAATTTTTGTTTGAAACTTAGATAATTTTCATAGCTCAAAGCTCAATTTAAAAGTCAGAATAAATTTCATTGTTGTTTCAAATTCAAAATAATAATATAATAAAATGCAAGTGTTTTTTTTTTTTATAAAATTAAATAACATAAAAATTCATTTTAGTCTATAATACTAAAATTCTCATATTTTCTTTTAAATATTTCAGTCAGTGTTTCGAATCCGCCAACAATAATTGGTGTAAGCGTCTTGACCCTGCACTGCAAAGGTGAAAAATCTACATTTTCTTCACAATGCAACGGGGCAGCTATAAAAAAAATATTTGGTCTATGGAATCATCTAAACTCTTTGGTAAACATATTTGAAAGGTATACATGTCTCGTATCTCCTTGTTTTCCTTTCAATAAATTTTCAAGTTTAGATTCAACATCGACCACTACCTTGACTCAGTAGGTTTTTTCGCGGTGCCGATAATGCATGAAAAAGGTATCTTCTTGATGCTCATGAAAGCCAGGATTGACCTTTGCCGCTATTTGAAGATTCCGCTGACCAGAACCATTAACACAGAAATCAATTCGCAAAAGGTTCTGGCAGCCAAAGCTGGATTCGAAGTGCTTCTGGACAAGCACTTTGAAGAACTTAAGGGACCGGACGGCAAAATGCTGTTCCCAGAAATGGCGCAGCACAAGTCAATTCAAATGCTCTCAGCTAGAATTCGCTAGAATTGTTGCTTGAAATGGAACCTTAATTGTACACTGAAGTATTTATTTTTGCAAATCAATAAACCCATTAAACATAAGTATTTAAAAAATAAAATCTAATAATTGTTTAAATTACACTTCATATCAGAATTTCTCAGACAATTTCAAATTGAAGTGAATACGTTTCAATTCAATTCAAACTTATGATAAAAAATGTATTTTAAGCAGATGAAATGATTAATTCTGATTTTAAGTTTTGGAAAAATGTTGATTGATATTTTCAGGTGTCTCTTTTTTTCTGATCTATAAGGGATTCCCAAAATTTCAGATAAATCAGATTAAAAATTAAATGTCGTAGAAATAATGGTTAAATTTCGTTTTTATTATGTTGTTTATTTATTTAAATTTACGCTCAAGGCCAAGGCTAATCATTATTTTAGCTGTTTGGTACATTTTGTATTATAACTTTAACAGCCACAGGAACATTGTTGGATCTGGGTTGAATAGTAAAATACTTTTTGGCTTTCTCACGAGGATTCGAAATGCCAACGAACCTATTCCAACCACCACGAACCGCAGGTCTTCGACCTTCGACATACTGTTGGCACTTTTCTCCCAATGAAAAAGGCAACGCGGTCGCATCACACCGTTTTCGCGCCAATATTCAAACGCGTCATCTGATTTCAAGTGGTTCAAATTCTCTCCTTTTCTTTTTTGCCCTCGCGCACGCGAGATAAACATTGGACCTGAAACCCCGGCTGCTGTTACACCCTCAGCCACCCTTGTGAGGCCCTCTTCAGGCAAGGTCGGCCGCCTGCAGGGGAGCAGAGAGGGAGGCCGCGGACGGCGCGGGCCGGAGCTAAAAGACACACCTTCGTGAGTGTGTGGTGGGTTCGGCGCCCGCCGGAGGCAGGTAACGGTGCATTCCTGCCGAGGATCGCTCGCTGCCAGTCTCAAGAGACACGCAGCTAAGAGAGAAGCACCGTTCCTGCCAGCCCAAGTCTTCAGGCCCCGCGACCAGGTAAAGAATTCCTTCAAATCGTCCAACATTCAACGACCACCGACCTCTTCAGTCTTTTCAACCCTTTTCTGCCGTTTCCTGTAAATTCAGTTTTTGTTTCAATCGGCCGATAATAATTATTCACTCTTGGTAATTCGGGGCCAGATTAGATTAAGTGGTGATTTAAGAGTGACGCGTGGATCTTTGCGTGTCAAGTTTTCTTAAATATTTCAATCTAAAAAATTTGTTTCCTTTTTTATTTGGATCATATGTTGATCATATGTTTCAAGTGGGCGCGGCTTAGTACTTGATTTCGGATCTGTATAATTTTGTTTTTAATTATTGTTAAAAAACATTATTATAAAGAAATAGGACTTTTAGTAGTCTTGGATTTTTTTTTAATTATTAATACTTATTTCACTAAAAAAAAAATACAAATAAACAATAAATAATTAAACTGCTGCAAATTTTAAAACATTAAATTTAATTGAGAGATTACTTTTATATGATTCTTTCAATAAATAATTGTATTTATTAATATTTTGTAGTTTACTGTGCAGACTTAATTAATAAATTTTTTTATAGGTTGATTGAACAAAGGTTTATTTTTGGTTTAAAGCAAATTATTATTTTAATAATTTTTTAACGAATAGGACAGAAATAATTATACATTAAATTAATTTTTTATAGTGAAATTTTTTTAATATTTTAAAATTTAATCACATTATATAATAAAAACATCACCCTTAGTTAACATGGAATTGTTAGGAATTGGGAATTAAATTTATATAAATTTCTTTTTGTCAAAAAGAAAAAAAATCAGATATTTTTCTTTTTAAATAGCAATGAAAATAAAATTGTGCTGATCTTACAGATAAAATTTGAATTATCAAAAATAATAATTATAAATGCATATTTATGTCTCGTGACAAAATTTAGTAAAAAAAATGCAGGCTTGTTTTCATCAATAAATAAAAATTTCGCAAAATTTAAGAAAAAATTCATATTTTTGCTCAACATATTTTTACTACCATAAAATGATTATTTCGATGCAATTTTTTAAGTTTTTTTTTTATTTAGCTGAAAAAGGTGCTATTTTTATTTTTTTTATTTTGTAGCTTTAAAAACATGATGCAAGCTGAACAATTAATGAAGTTAAATTGTGCGTAAATTCTTTGGCCTATGCCGATTTCTTCGTTTGCTCACGCGATTCACTCTCGCCGTCGTCATCACGTCGATAATTAATCGTGCTTTTCTAAACCGTGATTTCTCTGTTTCCGATGGTGCGCGGCGGCACCCGGTGCAGGCAGGTCGGTCTAAAGAATTTGACGTCGGTCACCTGCCTTGACCCACTTGGCGTCTCCCGCTCTTATCAAACTCTTCTTCTCAGAAAATCATAGCTGCGGAGATCAGAGAGATTTCTCTGGGATCGTCTTCTTTCTTTCCTGACCAAAAACACACACACTCGATCGCTTTGTCCGAGACGATATCACCGCAGAAATTTCACTTTTTTTAATGTGTGTCCAAACATCCGAAAACAAAAAGTGAAATTCTCGACGAGGAAAAAACTGTCAGATTAACAAAAGTTTATTGTTGAAAATTTTCTTTATTAATAATAAAAAATTTAATCTAAATAGTTGTCTAAATTTGGGAAAATGTACAAATAAATTATGCCAATTTTTTTCATACTTGTATTTTTCAATTAAAATAATTTTGAAACTCTATTTTAACCTGAAATTCATCACAAACTGTTCGGTAATGTTATAGTACGCGCGACGTGTTTTTTCATAAGTTGGCATCACTTATGCTCCCATGTAAAAGTATCACGTCGCGCGTTCGATAGTGGTTTTACGTCGCGCATACAATAATGGTTTTACGTCGCGCGTACAATACTGGTGGCGGTGTAATTTTTAAGGAAACCGATTTTATTTCCCGATTACCACGGAAACCTCTATAGCACGCGCGACGCAATTCTTTTCCTACAATCTTAATTAAGGGGACTGCTAGGAAGAATAGGGGCCCTTGGGATGGGTTCAGAATGGGGCAAGACGACCTCTGGAGGGACGTGCGCACCCTTATAGCAGGCGCGACGTATCACTATGGGACGCGCGACGGTCGAAAAGCGAACTCCGTAGGGCGCTTTTCACCATCGTCAGAGGCGCGACGCATGGTTATAGGACGCGCGACGCATGCTTATAGTACGCGCGACGCATGCTTATAGTACGCGCGACGCATGCTTATAGTACGCGCGACGCACGATTATAGTACGCGCGACGCACGATTATAGTACTCGCGACGCGACGCACGGCAAATTAATTAAAAGGTGTTGCACGCGGCCGGAGTTGTAGGCACCCCACGAACCAGCAACTCGGAGGTGGGCAACCCCCAAGATTAATTTTTGCAGAAGCCGCGAGCGTGGGGTGGAGGCGCAGCGAGGTCGAGGACGTGGGGAAGGCCGTGCGGAGGGCGAGGACAAAAGGGCGGCTGTGTTCATGAGGGGGCTCCGCAGGAGCCCCCTCACGAACCCCGCCCTTTTGTCCCGCCCGGAGCCGGCCTTCACCACGTTCTCGGGCGAGCGCGCCTCCAGCCCGAAGCTCGCAAACCCACAACGGAGTTGCCCACAAAAGGTGTTGTCTGCAAAGGGAGTTGTGGGCAACACACTTTTTGCTTTCTAAGCCCTTTTTGCAGACAATTCCTTTTGTAAGCAACTCCGTTGTGGGTTTGCGAGCTTCGGGCTGGAGGCGCGCTCGCCCGAGAACGTGGTGAAGGCCGGCTCCGGGCGGGACAAAAGGGCGGGGTTCGTGAGGGGGCTCCTGCGGAGCCCCCTCATGAACACAGCCGCCCTTTTGTCCTCGCCCTCCGCACGGCCTTCCCCACGTCCTCGACCTCGCTGCGCCTCCACCCCTCGCTCGCGGCTTCTGCAAAAATTAATCTTGGGGGTTGCCCACCTCCGAGTTGCCGGTTCGTGGGGTGCCCACAACTCCGGCCGCGTGCAACACCTTTCAATTAATTTGCCGCGCGTGTCGCGCCTCCTATAATCGTGCGTCGCGCGTACTATAAGCATGCGTCGCGCGTACTATAAGCATGCGTCGCGCGTACTATAAGCATGCGTCGCGCGTACTATAAGCATACGTCGCGCGTCCTATAACCATGCGTCGCGCCTCTGACGATGGTGAAAAGCGCCCTCCGGAGTTCGCTTTTCGACCGTCGCGCGTCCCATAGTGATACGTCGCGCCTGCTATAAGGGTGCGCACGGCCCTCCAGAGGTCGTCTTGCCCCATTCTGAACCCATCCCAAGGGCCCCTATTCTTCCTAGCAGTCCCCTTAATTAAGATTGTAGGAAAAGAATTGCGTCGCGCGTGCTATACATGTTGCCGAGGTATCGATGGAATAATCGGTTTCCTTAACAATTTCACCGCCACCAGTATTGTACGCGCGACGTAAAACCATTATTGTATGCGCGACGTAAAACCACTATTAAACGCGCGACGTAATGCAAGTGATGCCAACTGAAATCAGGGATTTTGGGAAACACGTCGCGCGTACTATAACATTACCAACTGTTCCACATTTAACTGCTTTTTGAGGTCTTCAAAGTCAAGTATTTAAATAAATTTGAACTTGAAAGGTCTGCTTTTCTAATGTAAAAATACGTCTGGCACCTCCGAAAGAAGATGGTAATTTTCTTGGCGTTACTTTGGTGCGGTTTTGACTAACGTGAATAACTTGGCGACCAGAGAATTGCGCTCGTTCGCGGCCGCCGCGTCTCGACAGGATGTTATAATGTTATATGCGCTTTGAAACAGTTAACTCGCGCACTCGTTCGCTCATTTCAATCACAATGTTCCCGCCGAGGATCATTGACTTGCAATTATTTTAACCGACGATTGCGTACTAACATCTGTGCCTCCCGTCGTGTTCATTAAAATATGATATTTAATTAAAAAAAAAAAAAAAAAAACGAACAATGCTGTCTGAAGGATTTTTAATGTTTTTAAAACTTTAATTTGCACTAATGGGAAAATGTTCTATAATAAAATTTATTTTCATACCATAAAATCTTGCGCAAGGCTAGCTCAAGGTATGAAAATCTAATACAAAAATCCAAAAGGAAATTTTTGTTTAAATCCTTTAAGAAACCAAAGTAAATAAATTAAAAGAAAATATCAATAGAAATTATGTTTGAAGTTTGAAAGTTTTATAACATTATGAACAATAATAAAAATGCCCTCAATTATTTTTAAATTTAATAATGACTCAAATATTAAGATTATTAAAAAGTAAAATTGATTTTTATATTATTTTGAAACTATTTTAATTTACCAATATATTATTCTGTTTTTTATGTTCAATATTCAATTGAATAATTTTAATGGAATAATAATTTTATAATCATTAAAGAATTTTGTTTTATAACACATTTAATTTTACCTCAATTTAAGAATCATTATTTACTTTCATTGTATTTTCCAGTATTTTCTCTTTTGCCTAATTTTCAATGATATCTCTCTAAACCTTAAACATAGCCCCTTGGATCACATGAGTAACAAGCACGTGCGATAAGAAGCCGTACCAATATTTTTTCCCATCACCGCCATACCAACATTTTTTTTTGCACACACACATTATATGATGCAACTGAGCTTTAATTGAAGCATCCCAATCTGTTCTCGTTTCTCAGGATGTCTAGACCGGAGGGCGTGGGCATCATCGCCATCGAGGCCTATTTTCCCTCGCAGTTCGTCGACCAGACCGAGCTGGAGCAGTTCGATGGCGTCTCGGCCGGAAAGTACACCGTCGGCCTCGGCCAGGCCCGCATGGGCTTCTGCACGGACCGCGAGGACGTCAACTCGCTCTGCCTCACCGCCGTCCAGCGACTCATGGAGAGGAACAATATCAGTAAAAAAATAAGAGTATATTTATTTATTTATTTATTAATGAAATTTATTTTAAAGGCGCGGATCGGATCGGTCGACTCGAAGTCGGCACCGAGACTATTTTGGACAAGTCGAAGAGTGTCAAGACCGTGCTGATGCAGCTTTTTGGAGACAACACGGACATCGAGGGCATCGACACGACCAACGCCTGTTACGGAGGCACGGCCGCTCTCTTCAACGCCCTTGCGTGGGTTGAATCTTCCGCCTGGGATGGTTAGTAAAAAACATCAAATTTAATATTTATTATTGCTAGAAATGCTTGGCAAAATTTATCACTATTTATTTATTCGGGCAAAGACAGAAATATAAAAAAGAAATTTGTAAATCATACATCACTAAAACAAAATAAATAGAGAAGAAATTGTAAAATCTTATCCTCAAATATTGATGGTTTTATCGGGTGCCAATCTTTTCTCTAAAGAGGAATAAATGACATAATCAAGTTTAAAAATTACGATTTTGATTGCAAAATTTTAACAAAACTGATTGAAATCTAAACTTTTTTCAGTATTAAATTGATGCACCATGATTTTTAAAATTTTTTGAAACTGATTTGTAAAAAAATAAAAAAAAAAATGGCATATTTCTGTTCAATCATTAATTTATTTTTCAAAGGTTCAATTATAATTTCTAATAAAAGTTGTACTATGAACTTGGCCTTAAATTATTATATTTTTAGGACGCCTAGCCATTGTGGTTGCAGCAGACATTGCAGTTTATGCAACCGGCAGTGCCCGACCGACTGGTGGAGCTGGAGCGATGGCCATGCTGGTCGGACCAAATGCTTCCCTAGTGATAGAATCTGGTATGCAATTTCATTTCTTGAATTTTCTTATTTTGATATTACAATTTTGCAATTCCTCAGGCCTTCGTGCTAGCTACATGAAACACGCTTATGACTTTTACAAGCCTGACCTCAACTCCGAATACCCAGTGGTGGACGGCAAGCTGTCCATCCAGTGTTATCTCAGTGCGCTAGACCACTGCTACCAACTCTACTGCAAAAAGGCTCAAAAAAGTACACTCAACATTTAAATTCAAAGAGGTTTTCATTTTTGGCGTTTCAGAAAATCCCGGTAGTAAAGTGCAGCTGAGCTCATTCGACGCAATTCTCTTCCACTCTCCGTACTGCAAACTTGTGCAAAAGTCTCTGGCGCGCCTTCTGCTCAACGACTACTACTTGGCGAGCGACGAAGAGAAAAGCAAATTCCCACCAGCATTTGAAGCAATCAAGTGGATTGAACAATGTTCACAATATGAAAATGGTTTTTAATCATTATGTTTAGGAATGTCAAACTGGAAGAGACTTATTTTGACCGGGACGTGGAGCGTCTTGTGCTAGACAACAGCAAGCAGCTGTTTGAAGAGAGAACGAAGCCTTCATTGTTTTTGGCCAACCAGATTGGAAACATGTACACGCCGTCTCTCTATGGTGGACTTGTTTCTTTGCTTATAAGGTAGCTTAAGCCTTTTCTGATGAGAAATTATTTATTTCTAATAAAATATTTAGTCGAGAAGCTGCTCAACTGACGGGCAACAGGGTGGCGCTTTTCTCCTATGGCTCGGGTTTGGCGTCTTCAATTTACTCATTACGGATTAGCAGTGACTTAGCGGCAGTGAAGAAAGTTGTTGATTCGCTCAAACATGTTAAACCTCAGCTGGAAGCCAGGCGGAAAGTGGCGCCTGAGGAATTTTCAGCCACACTCGACGCCAAGGAGAAAAACCATCACAAAGGTAAATCAATCTATCCTTGTGGATTACTAAGAAATTTCGAAACTTTTCACGAGATTCCCTATGAACTTAATTTTTGGGTTTATTCATTTAAAAAAATTCTTTCCTTTTAGTTCCGTATGTGCCTGAGGGTCCTGTGGACACTCTGTTTCCTGGAACTTGGTATCTGGTCGAAGTGGACGACAAGTATCGACGCACCTACAAACGGGTGCCCCTCTGACCTTTGGAATGACATGCGTAGTCGTGCTGATTGGCCAAAACGCTCCCACCATTTTTCACGTATTTGGATCAAATTGTTGAGTTTTCTACTTACATTTACAAAGAAGTCTTGTTTTTACTTCATGACACTATTTGTCAAGGAGGCTGGTTGAGTTTTAAAAATTATTTTACCCATTGCTAATATATTATTATTCATGTGTATAATCTATGTTTGAGAGATTTTATTTGGAATTTCAGTAAACAAAGTTCCACTACTTAAATGGAAACGCATTTTGTATGCATCTTGAGATGAGCCAGTATGTTTGTATTGACCGCAATCAAAGTGGCATTGACAATTATTATTCAATTTAATGTAATTTGTTACAAAATGTATTTCAATAAATATGTGGCCTTATAAATTGGTATTATGAAGAAGATCAAATTTTCCACTCTATAATATCCCACCCCGTTTCCATTTTCAGTATTACACCTTTTAACATTACCTTTTCACAAATTTAGCCTCTGAGGCTTCATTAAAAAAATAATCTTTTATATTCATGTAAGCTCCATTATCACAATCATTTAAAATGCAATATATAGTTTTTTTTTTACAATTTTTAGATTTTTTGGCTTAAACCAATGGGAGTTTGCAAATTAGTTTGCACTCCAGTTTCATTGAATGCAACCCGCACGATTTCTGTGATGGCCAGGTTGCCTATTAAGGTTTTTGCAGGCGTTGACGCTGACATTTTTAGGACTTTCCTGCTTTGCGGAACGTCTTCCTGGTGTTCAAGATAACAGCAGGAAGTTGGTAACCGAAAAAGACTGCTAAACTATTTATATTTAAAAAAAAACACACACACACACACAGCAGGGTAATTTCCCATTAAAACATTTATAGAGTATTATTTTATTTTTTTTCATTTTTAATATATTGGTGCTCGCCAGTAGTTGTGATCTTCTTTTGATATACATATTATTATTTAATATCAAATTGTTCTTACGATGTCTTTATGAGTAACAAAATTCAATTTTACATTCTTTTTCATTTATTACCAGTAAATTAATTTAATAATTTCACAATGACTATTAAAAATGGCATAATAAAATTTATTTAATATTTCTTACATTTGCCAGAATCAATGTTATGAATTCCAACAAATCAATTATCCAGTTTGTAGGTCACACCACGAGAGCACGCACGCTAAACAACTTGCAATCAATAATGTCGTGCCGCATATTCGTCTAGCACTATTATTTGAACTATCATTTGCGGGCAGAGTTGTGTTTGCCAAAAGATTTCAAAATACACCAACATAAACACATTTGACTGCTTATCGTCTCGAGAGCGTGCGCTGGTAGCTTCACGTCATCAAGACACGCGCTCTGCTAAAAATATAGCAGGCGTGTGTGAATGCTTGGTAGGATTTTAGTCTAAAAAAGATTAGATAGCACGTTCGCAAAGAGAAAAATTGAATTGTTTCTTCTTCTCCGTTTCTTCAGTTCAGCAACGAGTATCGTCGTATTTAAGATGTCTGAAATAATGGAGATCGATTTGAGCCACCTGGATGTATTGGTCGGAGTCGACATGACCGCTTGGAAGAGACCAGAAAGACTGTCCGAACCACGAATTTGGCTGCGGGAGAATGGCTTCGTTGTCAGAGATGTTACGCCGGACTTTGATCATTTCGTCTTAAAACACATGGTAGATAAAAATAATTTAAACTATTTCCGCTTCAAAAAATACCAATTAATTACACAAAATACTTCAATTTATTAATATTTAGCATTTTTTTTAAACTCTTTGGAAAAATGAATTATAAATTTACTTGTTGGTTTTAAATAGCAATTTTTAAAAAAGGGGTTTCAGCATGCTTATTTTTTTCTATTGATAATTTAAAAAATTAACAGGAAACGCATTTTTTAAGAGACGAACCAATCAATCAAGCGCTAGACACAGCAGGGGACCCTCTGGCTTCGGCTGAAATGAGAGCATTGTGGAGTTGCCTTATGCTGCCGGTAAGGGTATCCCTCGTCACCATTCAGGAAGGAACGCCTGGCGCTAACTTAGAAAAAGGTTAAATAGTTGATTTGTTTATAAATTTTATTTAATATAAAACATTTATTTTATATAAAAATGTTTTTTATATGATCAGTGAGTGCGGAAAACCCTCCAGTCATTATCGGTGTAAACCAATTGTTTGTTACAAAAAAGGATGACCCAGAAGTGCCTGATTTCAACACAGTCTTAAAAAGTGAAAAAGTAAAACTCTGCATTGGCACTTTCATTGAAACTGGAGAAATGGTCAACGTATATGAAAGGTTTTTAATATTTCAAAATTTTTTTTAATTAAATCCCATTTTTGATTAAAAGCAAAATCATTTTAATATCTTTTAAATATATAGGTACGGCGTGGACACTTATATTGACGGCGGCGGCATGTGCGTGGACCCAGCGTGGCGTGGAAAAGGCATCGGAAATTTATTGGTCAAAGCGCGGAACATATTGTGCAAAGAAATGGGCATTCCGCTGACCAAAACCGTGTTTTCGGCCATCCAGTCCCAGAAGGTGGCTTTGAAAGGCGGCTTCGAGTTGCTTGGCGAGCGGATCTATGCAGAGATGAAAGACGAAAAAGGGGATCTTCTTTTTCCCAACATGCATCCGGACCAGAAAAAAATCCAAGTAATGGCTCGCTTAGTGGATTAGCTTGTAAAAAATGTGAACAAAAAGCATTTTCAGCACTGACGTGTATGCCAGGATAATATTTTTGTAATTAAATTTCTTATTTAATTAAATGCCTTCTAGTAAATAGTAAATTATAATATCATATTACAATTTATTATGTACACTGGTAATATGTACTTAATAGGAAAGTCTTATGAAAACTATAGTTGACAATTATTGTGCATTTGATATTTTATGCAAATGTGTAATGAAATAAATGCAATCAATGAAATCCTACCACCCCCTTTTGTAATTTTCTTGTGTTTTGTTCTTCTTTTCCTTTTCTTATGCAAGAGGACTTGCACGTAAATCTGCCCATTCAGCCAAATAGAAAGCACTACAACGCGACGAAAGCAAAGCCAATTATCCAATAAGCCGTCGCGTTCCTTTTATTACTCAACTGCACTCCTACTAAATTCACTCAATCGCTGTTCTAAATCTTTGGTATTGACTTGCTTCCCTTATAAAGGACGTCTAGACCAGTCGTCCTCAAACACGAGCCAGTGCCTGTTGTGCCGCATGATGGAGTCGGTAGATTTGAGTCACTTGAGACCTTTGGAAGCGGCCGAGAGACCAATTTGGCGCCGCTCGGACCTAACCCCAAAAATTTGGCACCGGCAGGATGGCCTTGTTGTCCGGGACGTCACACCGGACTTGGATCCATTTGTAATTCAATTTCTGGTAATTAATAACATTTAAATTAAAGAAAAATTGCTCAAATATAATATAATCGCAAGGCACGTTTTTATGTGAAAGACGAGCCTATGAACCAGGCCCTGAAGGTGGCTGAAGATCCACTGGCCATTGGAGAGCAGTGCGCTATTTGGAGCAAATTCATTCTCAATCAGCGTGTGTCACTGGTCGTTTTGAAGGGCGACACTCCTGGCTCTGGTTTAGAAAAAGGTATTTTAATTTTTCTAAATTAAATAATAAAATAATTTAAAATACAGTTTCAGAAAACAATCCTCCCGAAATTATTGGACTGAACCTTCTGTATGTGACCAGTAAAAAAGATCCTCCTCTGCCAGATTTTGGTGGCACCTTAAAAAGCGAAAAAGTAAAAATTTGCTTCACAGCCTTTTTCCGGACTGGAGCTCTGGCCGACGTATTTGAAAAGTTTGTCTGCTTTTTAACCCTGATTTCTGTAAAATAATAACTTTGAATAAAGGTATAATGTAGATCGCTATCTGGACGGCTCAGGAATGTATGTCATCCCTGACTGGCGTGGCAAAGGAGTCGGACGGATGCTCCTCGAGGGAAGGAAAGAGCTGTGCAAAGCACTGAGCATTCCTGCGACTAAGTCAGTTTTCACATCTAATCAGTGTCAGCAGGCCGCCCAAGAATATGGATTTGAATTGCTGGGAGAGCAAAACTACACCGATTGTTTGCTTGAAAATGGCCAGTTGTTTTTCCCTGACATGGACCCTGGCCAGGAAAAGATGCAGTTGTTGGGCATGAATTTCAACTGAATAAGATGTGGCTCTTAAAAATGCAAATAAAATTTAACAACTCCAAGTTTTGAATTTAAATTCATTTTGGATTTTAGGCAGACATTTAAAAAATGAAATATCTGAAATGGGAAAAAAGTAAATAAAATATTCATGGGATTTTAAAGTTGATTTGCCTCTTAAGATAAGCAACAAACTTCATTTTGCAAATGCCAATTCCATAACATTCACAGCAAACAAGTTAGAACATAGAGAGCTCGTCTCTAAAAGTAAAATTTTAAATAGCAACATTTAATATAATAATATCTGGTTAGTTTTTTTGACAACTCCGATAAGATGTCATAAAATGTGAGGTTAAACAGACGACGGAGAATACTGGGATAATAACATTGAAAATTTCAAACATCTTAACAATTCGAGCAAACGTAGCTCATTATTTTTAGATCTACTTTCCAGACAGACCCATCACATGCTGGAAATGACGTCGTCCATCTAAGTACATCATGGCCTCTGTTGGAAAAAAAAGAATTAAAATTGAAATCAAATAAATTTGTTTAAAAAATTACCATCATAAGTCTTTGGGTAGAGCTTAGGGACTTGATCGGGGGTTTCGTACGTGTAATGGAACTGGTTGGTGGTGTTGTGCTGCCCGGTCCTGGGGTCAAACACTTCAGCATGGCACACAATCTAATTCAAGAAAAACCAATAAAGACTGTTGAAATATTTTCAAATTTTTAATTTACCTGCATGTAGTTTGATTCGGTGTAATTAACACACGCTTTGAGCCTCAATAACGAGCCAACGTCGACAGGCTTGTGGAAACCTATGTCACTAATGTGGCAAAGCTTAGGCCTGAACTTGCTATACAAATATCCAGACGCCCACGATAGCTCCAAAGCCTGCCTCATGAGAAAACCACCGAAGACTTTATTGTGCAAATTCCTGTCCTAGAGTTTAAAATAAGTCGGTATTAAAAATACTGGAAATATAAAAGTTTAATTACTTCAGGATGGCAGAAAACTATATTGCTAAGATTGGCGTCCTCCATCCACATGGTGTGCGGAGGCAAGATTCGTTTGTGAAATGTTGTGTCTTTAGGGTCAACTGTCTGCAAAAAAAGCTCGTGGATGATTCCCTGCTCCTCGGTAGTAGGCCCTGTTTTCAAAAGTGATGCTTTCTGCACAGCAGTCCTCCTCTTCTTATTCACTAAAAATTGCAAAAATATATATTTTGCTTATATGAAAAAGCGTATATTGAAAAAATCACATTCTCCTTTGTTGAATCGCTCCTTTTCCTCGGGCGTTTCTGGAACAAGAGCGTTGACAATGGCCGGGCCATGTCCTGTCGGATCACGAGCTGCCATGAGAAAAACAGCCCTGGTCAAACGCTGCCAACTTCCATTGAGCTCCTGTTCGAGCCAGACTGTAATTTCGATCGACGATCGTCCGACCCAGGACACATGTCCGGACAGACGGATATCACAATCAGGCTGGGAGAAAAATAAATAATTAGCTGGATGTACATTTCTTTTAGGCAAGTTTTTAATACTTTCGGAACGATATCCTCGAAGTTGATCTGATCGACCAGAACAGTGACCAAAACATAGGGAGTCGGCATTCCTTCCTTCTGGCGAGGATTCTTTATGTGCTTGTGAGCAACCCAAACTGAAAAAAAATCACATTCAAATGATTCAAACAGTTTTTAAGAGTCTAAATAATAAAAATTTAAGAATATCTATAATATAAGAATAGAACCACAGATTCTTGATTCTTAATTGAATATACCAGCAAACAAGTCCATGTCCTCCATCAATCGGCCAGTTCGAACGTGCCCAAGGAATGTTATGTACTTTTCCTGTAGCGCCGGAGAACTGCTCAACGGGATGACGGCAAAGTCGAACGAGTCACTCGGAGCCCTCGGCGGCAGCTCGGCCTGACTCGATGGTAGCAGCTCCAGCAGGTGTGATCGCTGCATCTGCAACGGTTTGTACCCTTGGACGCCGCCCATGTGCTCAACCAGCTTATCCTTCACTGAAAATCAATAATACAAAATTAGTTTATGTATGTAGAATCATAATTGTCAATTTACTTGCAAACAACTTACCATCTTGCATGGTTTGTTTATCACCTTGCTCCGTATGCAGGCAACGGACATTGTTAGTCAACAATCTAGGTGCAAACGAATGTCTAAAGAGATGATGAAATAATCATACAAGGTCGCAAATATCTGACAGAAATTATACCTTTCCTGAAGACGTCGTAGGAATCGCAACATTAAAGTGCCACCAGCAGAAGACATTTCGCAATTAAATAATTTCTCAGCTTTCTGTAAAAAAATTGTTTATTTTTATTCCAGTGAAAGGTTTCAAAATATTGTAAAATTGGAGTATATTGAAAACGTATGAATTTTAGCATTGAATTTTGAAGTGTTCTTAATACCTTTTGAAGGGCGTTAATGAGATGGACTTGTAAATTTAATGAGGACCTTCTTCTTTCTTCTAGATGCTTGTTGGTGGCAATCAAACGGAATGCCAGCACTCCGTTTTGATTTTGGCAAATTCGCCAACGCCTTTTACTTATTTTTAAGCCTTTCGTTCTGTCTCTTTTTATGATTCCCGTGTTTACAATCGAGCCTACAAAGGAAAACTGCGATTGGCTGACCTTTACAAAGCGCCAGCCAATCACAGACGGTATTGCTCCTTTGAACTTGGAGAGCGGGAAGTCGGCATGCTCTTGCACTTTCAATTGAGAGTAATAAAATCACAGCTGCGCAAAAAGTGCCAAAATATTGAAGGAATTTGAAATTAAAATTTATTCTGAGGCAGCTTTATATTATTTTTTATAATCATAGATTGTAAAACCTGATTTATATGTATTAACTGCTTCCAAATCTATGTTAATTTTTTTATCGCAAATTATAAAATTCATTTTAAATTAGCTGCATTTTATGCGCGCATAAAACCAGAAATTAAGTCAGCTAGATTGATTATAGACATCAATTTGCAATTAAATGAACCAGAGTATGAGAGCATGAATAAAAATAAAAATGAATTAAAATATTTAAGTTTGATTTAATTTTGCAGCTTTTATTTTAGAGAAAATATTATTTTATAGGAGTGAGAAATCTTCTGAACATATAGAGAAAAATAGACACACAATGCGCTATTCATTTGGTAAACGCAGGAAGTCAAAATATAAAATTTTTTATCACAAAATCACAAATTATTAATACAAAACATTTTCTTTTCCAATGGCAGGATTTTTTTTATGTACACAAATTTCCATCCTCGAAAAATCACTTTCATACCGTATGCGTTTGCACTTACAATTTTAAAATTAACTTTGCTTTTATTTTTTTAATAATTTTATGAATTTTATTATGTATGGCAAATTTCATAATTTTTCATTTAATCTGAAAATGCACAGTTCATGCTTGATTAATTTCACAATCAAATGCATGAAATATTCATAGGACAACCTGAGGTGTGTATCATAAATTACTTTCGCTCTCATTTGCCAATCAACAGTGGCAAACCACAGTAATAACTCATTGGCATATTTTATATCACTTTCCCACACGTAAAGCACTCCATGATCCACTTTTCTATCTTCTCTGAGGATAAAGCGATGAATCAAAATACATCAGTAAGAGATTACAATTTTTTTTTTTTTATCAATTCCAGCATGTAATATCGTTCTTTTTGATAGCAAAAAAGAGGAAGATTTTGTAGAAAGAAAAAAATCATCAGTCAAATTATGCTTTCTCCAACGAAGCAATTGAAGAGGTCAAAGAGGCAAATGCAGATTCGGTCGGAATGACGGCACCACCGTTGCCGTGCAGAATCTTCGCTTCTGAATCACACAGGTGGTACTGGCCGAAGAAAGGGTGGACTGCCATGGTCATGTCCAGCTGGTAATTCCACCCGCAGTCGATTTCACGCACCCACTGCGGCCTGTGCACTTTGAGCAGAGTCAGGAAATCCTGCGATAAATAACAAACAAGCAAAATTATTACATAGTAATCAGGGAAGTAATTTCAAAATAAGGTCAATTTAGAAGTTATCATCTCTGTACATGGAAAATTATATAATTTGAGAGATTGCCGAGAGTTAATTGAAGTGCTCCAGTTATTGAAATGAATGAGAAAGTAATCTTACGGCAAATTAGAATTATGATATTTAATCAGGTAGAAAAACGTTAAATTTATTGTAATAAAGTAATTTCAGAATCGTTAGAATCAAGTACTTCATTTATGGAAAAAAGTTCCTTTATTCCAAGAGAATAATTTTTGCGCTCAAAATTTAGTTAAAAAGTCCCAGATAAATGCGTTTTTTAGAAGATTCTTTTAAATTGAAAGTTAGATTGTAATTTCTTATTATAATTTTGTATCAACTAGTACAAACAAAAACTTATGTAAAATAGGAACTATAACGTCAAAATTAAATTTCTAGAGAAAAATTAAAAAAAAAAATATTTTTAGGAAAAAAAATCAAAATAGTTCAGAGCAAAAAATTAAAGCTCTGATTTGTTTTAGTTAATTACATGATTTAGAATCAGAATAACAAACCCCTCCCTCTCCCCCCACCCCAGCTGTTGGAATGAAAATTTGGAGTGAAATTAAATCCTTTTAGGGTTTTAAGGCTTAAGCTGTCAATTGAATACTATTCAAGCGTCCTTTTCAGATTTCAATTTTTCTTTGTGTGAAATTTCAAGAAACCTTTATTAAAATATAAAAAAATAATTGCAGTTATAATATTACTTCATTCAGAAATAAAATGTAATTTATAAATAGTTTAAGCATACCTGATCACCGACTGCAGCTCCTCTGTAGTTGCCAAACTTGTTGCACAGATTTTCAATGGCAGATTTCTGGTCCAACAGGGCGTTGTACTCGCCATTGCTGCGCATGTGGCCCAAATGATAGAGCACCACCCCCGAGTTGAACCCTGGGAAGCCACCCTGCGGCTTGGGCAGGCCGTCTTTGCTCTTGCCATTCAACTTGCGGTACCTTTCAAAGGGTTTGTCGTACATGGGCGAGAGCTCGGCCGCCAGGGCCATCATCTCTTGGGGCTGGAAGGTAAGCAGTTGAAGGTAAAGGTCGGCCACGTCGGCCCTGAAGCGGACGTCGGCGTCGATGACGAGGAGGCGGGTGGTGGCCGGCGACAGCAGGCGGTGGTAAATCGGGGCGATGTGGAACAGCCGCTTGTTGTACTTGCTGTTCGGGTCGGTGGGCGAGAACAACGGCTGCAGCCGGTCTATCACAGAAGAGTGGTTGCGCGTGGATTCCTCCAGGTTGAGGTAGTCCACCTGGAATCAATAACAAGAAAAAGAAAGATCAGCAATTAATAAAACTGAAATAGTTTGAGAACCGTGTATAAGTTTCAAAGCAAAATTTAAAAAAATTTTACAAAATTAATTTATTATTTATTTAATCTTCTGTCGACAAAAAAGTTTCAAATTGGAAAAAAGGGCAGAAAGGGTTTTTTAAAAAAAATTTTGATTTTCTAGGAAAACTGAAAATTTAATTAGAGGCAGAATCTGAAATTTTTATGTATGAAACAAGCAACAATAAACCGCAATAAACAATTCAAAATACTATAAGAGGAAAAAATTATTATCTAAATTAAAATGTTTCAAAATCTTTTTCCTTTTTTTCTGTTATAGTAAAAGTGTTTCAAAAATCATTCAAATGTCCAAAAAATAATATTTAATAATTGTGTTTTTACGGCTTTTTAGATTACTTTAATATTTTCATTCTGATGAACTTCTCATATTTTTATTTATTTATATATTTGCATTGGTGAACAAATATTAATTTTTAATTTTTTAAATATAATTTTTATATTTTCATATCTAGATTGCAAGACGTTCCTATGTGCCCTGCTTAAACCTTAGGTTTACGTGGGTTTATGTTTGTCTAGTTACAACAATTTTCCTTAAAAATTGGAGTTGTATAAATGAATTAAAAAAATAAACTTTGGTTAAAAAAAATACATGGTTCTTTTGTATTCAAGTGTACCACCAAACACTGCCTGTAGTAAAAATAACAACTCACTCTTATCTATGAAAACTTGAAATAGGCAAACTATTTGAAAATTTCAAAATAAAATGATGACTAACAATTTGCAACTTAACCTCACATAGAGCTCCTATTTACAAATGATTATCGCACTATTATGATGCAGTGCAGATGAGCTTTAATATGAGATGCACCATCATATAATGCTCAATGATCTTTCTCATTCAAGCGTCGATCCGAGACGGGAGAAGCATAAGGCGCACATGTAAACGAGCTGGCGGATGAGTTTGCTCTCGGCAGAAGGAAGCAATAACAATGAAAATAATAATCGGCGACGAGAACCGCCTTCGTCCCGCGATATGCTAGTGAATAATTCAGCTTCTGCTTGTGCACTCTCCACCAATACAATTCCAACTCGAGCGGAAGCCTCGAGTTACACTCTTGTTGTATACACGAAAGATGAAAGACGTGTATTCATGTATCGCCTTGTGCAGCGCACATTGAATGTAAAAATAAACAACGTGGTTACGTTATTTGCATTACAAAGCGAGATTATAATTGAGAATTGTGTTTAACCAACAATACTTTGGAAGTGGTACTTCATGTGGTCGTTATTGTGGCCTACAAAACCATGTCTGCAGCATATGGACCTCGGTTCATTAAAAATAATTAAGATTTATTATATATACAAATTTTTATACCGCTCTAAAAAGAATTTCTGATTCTTCCGACTTGTACAAGATATTGTGATAAATTAATTTTTTTACTTGCATACCTACAATTTAAATTAATTGATTAATTTCTAATTATGAAATGAAAGATTTTAATCGTTAATAGAGAAATAATGCAAATCTTCCAGAAATCACGGTTCTATTTAATTGCTCCTGTTTTTCTTCAATATTCATTAAAAAGTTCTGTTTCTAAAAATTTGGGACTTCAGTTGAAATTTTGGCCTTTAAATGCTTTGTTTAATTTCAGGAACTTGTTTTCCAATAATTGTTAACAATGCCCTGATTTTATTATTATCAGAAGCTCCACCTTAATGCCAATTTTGTTTTGCAAGTATTTTTCAGTTTTTTTTTTTAATTATTGGATGGATTAATTTGTTTCACAAGTCCGTTCAAATTAATCTTTTTAATGTCCATTTCCAAAGTTAGAACAAATAATGTATTTTATAAATCGCATATAACTTGTATGTATTTATCTCTCATTTTTAAACCTCCACTTTAGCTGCACTTTAGCACTTTTAATGCTTCAAGATTTCTCATAAAATGTCACATAAATAAACTTATGAGTCCTTGTCTCGCCACTCATTAAAACAAGACAGATCTTTTTCTTGATCCGACCTGTCCGGAAAGAGCACATTCTCGTTGAGGAATTTTATATAAAGCAATTTCATTCGTCTGGAAAACGCATTGTTACTTCTGGCTCGCACCTTGAAATCTCGATTATTCGAACACAACGTCACACACAAAGAGAAATAAATCAAAGGTCATTGGCCGCGGCGGCGCGAGTGCCACCGCGACTTGGTGGCCTCATCCTTGCCAGAGGCAATCCACTCTGTATCTGCATCCGAACCGACCGTCGAGTCTCTCCCTCTCGACCACTGAACGCGCCATGGTCCAGCCAATATTCTCGCTGCACCGACCAGCGAGTAGCGGAAACCTAACCAATTCCCTGCCGCGGTTAATCAACACATTCCACAGCACACTTTTTTTGTAAGTGTTTGGTGTTCCCATTCAACCTCAAACTTTTGCGCAACACGAAAATTGTCGTATGTTAATTTAAAATATTTTAGATTACGTTTATCAAAGATTTAAAAAAAAAAGCTCAAATTGTGTGATTTTTCCAACAATTGATCGAAATAAGATGATTTTCTTTAAAAATTGGTTTTAAGAAAAAGTTTAGGATATGAAAAATTATCTATGTTACTGCAAACTGATTTACAGAAATTGATAATGGCTTAAAATACAAGTAAGAAATAATTATTCACCTTCAAGAAACAATTTAGCTTCAAATTTGTTGAGGATATTATAAATCTCAATGCCTATAGAATGCCATTAGCAAGAAAAGTTAACCCTTCCATGAACATTGTTTCATATACAGGAGGGCGAATTTTATTACGTTTTCGCCGATTAATTAATTAAATAAATATTAGTGTTATATTTTACTCCAGAGTAAAATGCATTTCTGGATAGGGATTTTTAATCCATAAAAAATTGCACCTGAGCACAATTGAGACAAATAAATAATTAATTGATAAAAAAAGATAAAAAAAATTGAATATAAAATAAATTTCTGCAGATTAAAATATTGATAGGGACTCCACTGACGTAGAAAAAAAATCAGTACAATGATAAAAAAAAAAAAAAAACTAATGTTTGCTACTGTTGGAAAAGAATTATTCCAAACATTTTTTTAACCATTATTGCTGCAAAAAATAGAAGATTTGTTTATTATGGAGTTATTGATTTTACAGTCGCGATTTTAACTTTTCTCGGTCTTGTTCAGGACAGAGGACAATGGAATTTTCGCAACAAGATTATGCAAATAATTTTTTTTTTAATATAACGTAAATAATTTCTCTTTTGCAAGCAAGTGGTAAATCGTTCTCAACAACGCAACTATCATTACGCATAAATATAAAACAATGTGTGATTGTGTATTTAAGTTTGGTTGCGCAGACGAGATGTGTAAACACAAGATGTGGCTGCATGTGCACGACCACAATAGACGGCTCCGCGTTCGACAAGTCTCACAATAATTGCAATTTAATACATGGAATGAAAAAACTTTGAAGACGAGTCCTTGTGCCACTTCTTGCTCCCCTCTCTGGCCGCGCTTTTGACATTCGTCCAGCAACGTCATCATATATTTATATTCAATTTTGTCAATTCTATCACATCATTACTCACTTAATGTTAGTTCGTGTCGTGTCAATTTAACTGGAAACTTCCCGATTCCCAAAATTGGCCTCTATTTCAAGGCGCCAAGTCGAAAGCAGTTTTTCTCGGAATTGTAACGAGTCAAGTCATGCTTTGTGTACATTTAGCTATTTGCGGAATCCAATGTGTTTAATCGACTATTCGTGTTTCGGTAAATTACGCTCCAGACATATTAGATCCAATAAAAGAGGCACTGGCTAAATATAAAAGAAGCTAAAACGTTCGAAACTGTGTTAATTAAAATTTTACAAAAAAAATTACAATCTCATGCATAATATCAAATTATTTGAGATGGAACTAATTTTTGCATAAAATTCAGTCATTTTATAAAGCACGAAAAGAAAAGCTTTATTAATTTTATATTGCTGACGGAGCATTTTAAGTTCTTGCTGACCATAGCTCTACGCAGTTGAATCGGATGTTTATTGTGCGAGTTAAGACTTTCATTTGATACTAAAAAAAATGGTTTCTGATACTCAGCAGTTGTTAGCAGACTCCGCGGAGGCGAGTTTGCAGCATAAAACAGTAGACATTAAATTTCATAAGGTTCGGATGTCAAACTCAAGAATTACGATTCAACACTTTCTCGTAATATCTTTTGCTTAATTCATGAATATTATTAATATCTTTTGTAGTTGTCCGATTACATAAAAGAATGCATAACTTTCATGTTTTATTTTTACACACCTAGAAAAAAGCATTTTCATTTAAAATAAAAAAATAATAATGTTTTTGCAAAATTAATATTATTTTGTTCCAAATGTTTAGGATTGGAATTTATTAATTTTTTTTACTTTTTAATAGCCGGTTTTCTTATTTTCAAATTAATTTAACAAAATTACAAAAAACTTCTAATTCTTTTGATTTCCAGAATGCCTCCCTGCAAAAATTACTGGAGCTAGTATGTCTAGTTACGTTTTCACCGCGTTATCTTGACGTTCATCATTTTGTCCAGCTTTTCCGTGAGACCCCTTTTCAGATAAAAAGCCCGTTGCATTGTAATTGGTGTTGATATGACGTGCTCGAAAGTTTGTTTGCACGATAGCGGCGCACACTAGGGAAAGAGAAGCGGCCGTCCTGCGTTCAATGCCGCACAAAAATTCGCAGTCACGTAAAGAGTAGACAACTTATTTGACAGACAATCATCATTACGCAAGGATTTCTCTGTTTGTACAAAAGAGATGAGATAAAAAATATGCTGGATTTCCATATCTCTCTAACTGCGTAAAATTTCATTTTTTGACGTCAGAAAAACTGCGCTCACCGTAAATTAATAGTAACGTACTCAAGTGCACAAATATTTTATCTGAGCGGCAAATTAAAAGACCGAAAAATAAAGAGAAATATTTAAATTTTAAACTTACGGTGACTGGAACTTTCGCCCGTATCCTGGCTAAATTTCTAATCACTTCACGTATCAAAGGCACACTTATATTGTCAGTCAAAAGCACAAAGTGCACAGGAAGCTGAGTGGAATGTCGGAGGATGCTTTCAGCACAGCCCTGGAAAAAAGCGACAACATAAAAATTTAAGTAAACTGAAAAATATTTAAGCAGACATTCAAAATATAAAAGGAGTCTCATATTAGTTTTATAATTTTTATTGTTGCCAGATTCACCAATTATGACAATTATTAATTGATACTCTTTAAATGGGAATGACGCAATTTCAAAAATAAAAAATTCGTCAAAAACAAATTTAGAGCAAGTTCAATTAATTTCACCAGCTAATCTCCAATTTCTTATATATGCCCTTTTCATAATTGACAGCAAAAAGTAATAAACTGCACGAAAACTAGCAGAATTAATTTTTTTTTTTTTTGTTATAAATACTTCAGTTATCAATTTAAAATTTGGAATCCTTTAAAATATATTATCCATCTCCGCTGCGCACGTGCAGGGCAAATAAAGCAGACGTGATGGGTCTGTGACGTGCAATCAAATAAAAAGAAGATGACTTCACCATCAGTCTCAAAATAAAAATAAATGATGGATCAGCGGAGGTTCAGACAAGGCCGCGACGGCCACACAAGGTACAATCTTTTGACTCTCGTCAGTTAAAAATGAATTTAAAACATCATTTCCCATTCCAATGACTAACAATAATTTTATTAATTTTTTTTTATATCACCAACCTTGAAATTGTTGAGCAGTTTTGTGTTATTGGTGGCGTTGATCATGATGAGGCCGATGTTGATGGCCTGGACCTCGCCCGAGCCGAAGGGGGCGGGCGGCGCCACCAGGGGCGGCTCGCTCGGCGTCGCGTTGACCACATTCCAGGTGCCCCACGAGTAGTAATAGTCCTCGCCCGTGGTCACCGGCCCGCCGTACATGTCGCTGTCCACGAAGTTGGTCAGCAGCGACGACACCATCAGCACCCCAAGCACGAAAAGCACCACCGACGTCAACAGCCGCCGCCGCATGCTAATCCTGAATTTGAGGAAAGATTTTATTAAATATTGGGAAAGGGGTGGATTTTTATATTTTGCAAAATGACAACTTAACTTTTCCCAAGGAAACTATAGCATTTTCGGAATTTTCTGAAACTTTTATGATCCTGTTATTATGGAATTGCAGTAAATATAATAATAAAAAAAAATGCGATAATGCGTCGAGTTTAATTTAAAAAGAAAACTGAAGAAAACTTACAATATCCTTGGTATAATTTGCGTTGATTATAAATTATAAAAAATAATTCAACCATTCATTAAATATTATGATATTAAATATTTAATATTTTGTTCTGAAAAAGAGTTCACAATCAAGGTAGGATTTACATGAATTGAAACTCAGCGATTGCTTGTCATTTTCTATATGTTAATGTAAATTGAGTGACAGAAAAATAATATTATCCCAACTCTACATGTTTTGGCTGCAGGCTGCAGACGCAGCGCTTTAAAATACACAAACACGTCGATAAATGTTGCGGTTCGTTTATTTTTTTATTCAGAAATAAATCAATTGGATAATGGAAACGACAAACAAAAATAAAATGAGAAAAATGAAAACAGCTTAAAATTTTTTCATCTTTTTGGTTGCATGTAAGACGTGAATAAATTTAAAATGATTTTCCTTTTAATTTTTCTTTTTTTAAATTGAAGACAAATTTGTGTTTTTAAATCCGCTTGGCCTCAAAACTACCAAAGTCATTCATTTCAATCGTAATATATCAAAGAAAGTTTCAATTTACCAGACAAAGAAGCTCTCCGGATACTGATCTTTTGAAATGACCAACGTACTCGTAAAAAAAAAATAACAAATGCAGATATATATTTTTTTGTAATTAAAGCGTCCGGGGAATTTTTTCGTTAAACATTTTGTACTAATGATTTAATTTCTAAAAATAATTCAAATTATCTTCATTAAAAAATCCCCATAAAAAGTATAAAAATTGGTTTGTGGGGTTAATTATTGCTTTAATTGATATTAGAAAACCCTTGAAAACACAGCACATTAACCCTACTTTTCAAATTAATCTTTCTATAGGCCGGAATTATCCATAATTATAAACTGTCGGTGCGGCCGATTAAGCCTTATTAATTATGCATCGCAGATCGATGATATTATTCCAATAAGAATATCAATATCATGCATATTCACAGAATATGAGCAGCCGAGCAGGTAAGAAAAGGCTCAACAGCCTGAAAAGCGTCAGTCGATAATTTATATAATACGCGAGAGACGCAACAAGCTCGATGCCTGCGCCAAGAGGAAAAAATGATTGTTTTCGAGCGAAGCCTTTCTAGGAAAAGCTAATTTAAAAAATATCCGAGAACATCTAACTACGCAAGTTGCACTGAACATCTGTGTTCCTTCAAAGAGCTGATAAAAACTCTTTTCCAAAATTAAATCAACGAAATTTAAGATAATTTATCTATTTATTACTAGAAAAAATTAAATGCTTCGTTAAAAAAATATAACCATAAAATATTTACCTGATTGCCATGTTGGTTGCTTTAATAATCTAATGCATCGCAAACGAGAATCCTTTGAGCATTTTTGAGAAGGTCGTCGTGGCAAAGTGGCCGGTAAAGTCAGTGGCACCGTCGCATTCTTATTTCTCGCTTTCAGGGCGGAAACGGGTCAAAGATAGCGCGAGTTTTCTTCGCTTTTTCCCTGCTGATCGAAGCACGTGTGAGGCGCTCGAGTGCCTTCGTGGCCGCCGGTCTCACTCACCTCACTGTCGTGGAGAACCGCGACCGACTGCGCGCGGGCCCAAGTTTGCTGACCCACCGTCCACAAGGAAGAACCGCATCAGACGCGCCTCTCCCTCCGCGAGTCGTTCCCCTCGCCTCGCGACCCCTCCACTGTTAAATTTTTTTATCGCCGCGAGTCGACGGTCGCGTAATTGCAGTGCACTTTACTTTAGCCAGTGCGCTTTTCTGTACTTAAATAAATTTTGTAGTGTGTAGACACTGTAGACCTTATAATTTAATTCAAGGTCGTCTGGTAGCCGACCAGTTTTGCACACATATTAGGATAGAAATAAAAATTACACTGGTTTAAATTGTATAATTACAATAAATTTAATTAATTAAAATATTAAATAAATTTAACATTATAATTAATTACAGTAATTGAAATTAAAGGACATTTATATATTATATTTATAAATTGCATAAAGTTTTTTTTGTACAAAATATTGTATTTAGATGTATATCGCATAGGAAATAATTTCGAAATTAAATAATTTTAAATTAATCACAAATATGTTTAAAATGTTTAAAATTTGAATTAAATTTTACATAATTGAAATCTGCATAAAAAGATGAAATTAGCGCAGTTTTATTCATACTTCTACAACGATTAGAAGTGAAAGTAATTCTAGTTCAATTAATTTTTATCAACAAAATTAATTATGTTTCACATTATATAATAATTTATTTTTTTATATTGATAGACATCTCATTTTCTCATACTTCGCCAAATTTACACACGCTGCTGATTTGTTGCGCGCGTTTAGCGTTCGGCGCGAACGCAATTTTTATTTTTTTTGTGTATTTTTTTAGAACGTGTTATAAGAATTCAAAATTTTAGCATTAGTGGGTATATAAATTAAGTATTTTTTTTTAAATGCTGATTTCTAATAATCTTAATTAGGAATGGAGAATTTAACGTTTCCGCGAGAAATTTGTCAAAAATATAATCGTATGACACAAAAGTCTCAAAACAAATTTTTTTGGATATTAGTTCAAGATAGCCAATCGATTGAAGCCTGAGGCGTTCTCTGATGCCCATTTCACCCATTATTATCTTAATTGTAAAAAATATTAAACAAGGAAATTAAAAATGTCAATACAAAAAAAAACACAAGTTTTTAGATTTGGTTAGTTTTGAAGTTCTTTTCATAATTTTCAAAATATCTTTAATATGTAGAAAAAAAGAGATTTAAATTGTTTTCATTTTGATAATTTTGTATTATTATTAACCTCTAAAATCTATAAAAATTAAAGGGCAAAATTGCAAAGTATGACAAATATACAAGTCAAATCGCAAACTACAACCCACTACAACCATATATTAATTCTTTTTACTTATATGAATGAATATTCTACCATTTCTTTGAAAATCGAAGTGGAAATTTATGGTTATACAGACAAAACGTGATTTATTCAGTTGCAAGTTGCAATTAAAAATATACTTCAAGAAGTGTACTTAAATCTTTGTAGCTTTTTGTGTGTGATACAATTAAATTATTTGATTAACATTCAAACAAGATCTTTTACTTTTAATCTATGTATTAAATCATATCTGAAACTAAAAAGCGATCTAGAATCCTGCCCCCTTTATCACATACAAAATTAAAGAAAAATGAAGTTTTTTTTAAATTTAAAAAGTAATAGCATTAATAAAAGTCATTTCTCGTCATGTAACTTGTGGTGGGCAATTTTAGAATGCTGTCTATTTTTTATTCCACCGTTACCAAAATTATGCTAAATGTTAATATTATATACGCCAAAAGTTTCCCCATTAAAATTTTGCATTGTTCTTTAGCTCTGCTTTTGCAGTGCCGAAGCTCTAAAAGTTTCCGCAGCCGGCAACGCGTAACTCTCGCGCGTTGCGCCGGTTGCATAGCTCACAGGCTGCCCCTCTCTTTCTCGTCTCGCTGGCAGAACTTTAGGGGCGTCTGAGCGCGGCCGCGGTTCATTCAGTTCGTTCCGACGGGCCGCGTCAGTGTTGTTCAGGACAGTGGTGGACGCAGTCTGCTTGCCAAAAAAGCGCTGCCGTGAAGCTTTCAGACTCAAAATGTGAGTTCCCCTTTAAATTTAACGTGTATTTTTAGACCTGATTTTTGTCGGATATAAACAGATCATAACAATCCAGACTGAAAGAGAGATAGTCAAAATGTTTATACTTTATTTCTTGAATGCACTGTCTCAACCAATGACATGTAAAATTGTAAATTAGTATAATTTTCAGCAGTCGAATAAAAAGGAAAAAATTGAAACTTAGTTTTATAATTGAACTAAAATTTGGTAAAAATACTAAAATTTTGAGTATTTCCGATTTTATAAGAAAATTTTATGTATTAGTTGAAAAAAAAATATGAAAATATTCTGTAAATACAACAGATTAAAGATTTCTGTTTAAACTAAGATAAATTTTATTGATAAAAAGAGATATTAAAAGTTGAAATGCTCTAATATTATTCTGGTACAATTGTTTTGCTTCATACTAAAGCTTTGGTTAAAATGAGCATCAAACTCTCACTTTCCACACCTATATCCCGCGTTTATTAATTCAGACACGTAAGTTTTAACAAGAGTATTTCGACTTTCGAGGGCTGGCAATCAAATTGAACACCACCGTTTGCGTGCCGATGTTTTGAATTTTTTTTTTCGTGCTAGGAAAGATCACACAGTTTTATTAAAAGCAAACATGAGAAGCGGCACCCGGCGCGATATCCCGAACTGACACACCGCCGGCCATAAATATCGAGGAACTCGCGTGGATAATATTGGAAAAAATTTAGATCGACGTTTCCATGTTTTTTAAGATCGAACGAAAACCCTCACGTGTGCGTCATACTTCCATAGGGTGCGTGTCTCGCACGCAGAATCAAGAGTAAAAAATCGAATGTTTCCAATTTTCTTGTATTCTTCAGAAAATATGTTTGTTAGCATTTTCCTCCACATGCTTCAATTTGGTAGAAAATATGATTTTATTTCAATTTATTTGTCCACATTGATAAAAAAATTAAGCATAAATATTGTTTATTGTTGCTTATATAACTAAATTAAAAATATAAACAATAATTTATTATTTTGTAACAAATTTAGTGCAGATCAATGCAGACATTGATTTTTACAGTAAATTTATTTTCCAAAATAAACACAATAGTTTTCTAATCATCTATTATTTGAGGTAAAATTATTGCAATTTCTTTCTTTCGCTACCTTTGTTGAGCAGTTTTTGTTTTATCTTAATTTAATTTGAATCACACTAAATTTGATTCTTGATTCAGTTGAAAATGAGTAATTTAAAAAATATTTTTGGGTATTGTAAGTACGTTTGATGCACAATAGAACTACTGACGGAGAATTTTCAAATTTTCTGAATGAAAAATTTTGAAGTAAAAATATTAAAACAATAAGTTAATTCACCATTATTCTTTCATAAGAAAAATGAGAGTAATTTTATAATTTGTTTGAAGACTTTTCTTTTCAACTGCTTTATAGTTGTTATCAATTTATACTTTTTATTTTTTCATTGTGTGTAAGATATTATTAGGGTAAAAAATATAAAGTTTATGCAAAACTTGAAACGCCTCTCCAATTTTCTCTCTACTGCTCTCCACTAAAATTATTGGCGAACTGAAATTAATTTTTTTGGCCATGATCCGAGTAGAATAAACAATTATTGTAAAAATTTTCTTAAGCTCCCTTTTTAAGTTAGAATATTTCTTCATATAATTAATTTTCATTAGAATTTTGAAGCTTATACTGTAGTAAAATTATGCTCATTTGTGATTTGTGATGGAAATATAACAAAATTGTTTGAAACAAATGAATAAAGAGCAATTTAATCAGACAGCGCTATTTGACATTTGTGCCCAACCGTGGCCGATTCTGCTTTTATTACATGGCATTAGCACTTAATGCATCGCTTTTTGGAAGTGGGTGATTGTTGCGGAGCGCATTACCGAGATAATTAGAGAAGAGCGTCCATGGGGGAGCATTGACACTCCCACTGCCGTGAAATGACAATTTCGAAGGCACTCATCAGATGGGACGCAGCGATGAGGAACCTGCCGACTGGAACACAATTTGCCACGGAAAGCGGCCGCAAACCGACCAAATTTCAATTGCCAGGGGCGACTTTGTGTTTGCTTTACTCAAACCACAGCAAAACCACAACATTTGAAGATCAAAATATGAAACCGTGCAAATATATTGGACCGAACTAAATTAATTTTTGTTGGGCAGTTTCTTTTGATAAATTTAAACATATTAATGAAGTTTTTTATTATTAAAATTAGTTTTGTTAGCAAGAAGTGGATATATGAAACTAATTTTTTGGATTATATTGATGTCACAATCAAATACGTGAGTATTTGAGTATTGATAGTGTTGTTTCCAGGCTGGATGATATTCTGGAAATGATGAAATCCGATTTGCAAGGCTTCAGTGGCAAAAGTTTTGCGGCTTCGTACAGTCCAGCCACAAAGTCATTTGTGGTGGAGACGGTACAATCAAAATTATTATTGAACTCAATACAGAATTAGAAAAATATATATGTATCAAAAGATCAAAACTTGAGGTACTAAAAACAGTAAAAAGTGAAAAATTGATCTTCTTAAATTTTAAGACTGTTAAAATAGATTATTTCGCAAAAAGAATTGACAGTTAATTTTTTCTGTATTTTCGTTTCAATAAAATAAAGAATTGCTAAAACTTTATACCGCACCAAATTTTTTGTCTCCTAAAGAATGAAAAAGAGTTTGATGTGCCCTTTGAAAAAAAAATCTTCAAACTTTGTTAAAATCACAATGGCCCATTCTACACGAGCGCCTGGTGAATAAACAATGGTGATTCAGTTCTCATTTAAGTTCTAATTAAACATCGGCCAGATGTTGTGCGCATAAATTCTGGCTTTGATATGGTGGTGCGAGGTCTGTTGCCTCTTCTTCTTCTTCGCCCAGTTTCCCTCTTGGAACACACATACAGTAGAAGAGAGAGAGCGAAGTATATTTTTAAAACTAAACCATATCTGCAACCCCATCATCAAACACGCACACTCGGGCGAGAGAGCGACCGTAAAAAAACCGTTCTTGCAGCCAAAAAATGTAACCAAATTAATGAGCTGAACTTTAAACTATATTTATTCTCTCTCGCGGGCCTCCTGAGAAGCAAAAAGCAGACGTGCAAAATTCCATTAGTCCAGAGAGGCTGGTCTTCCTGTTTTTAAATGCTAATTTATTCTCATGATGGATGATATGTGTTTGCTCTTCTTTTTGCGCCGGGCCATTTTTCGTTTATGGAAGTCTAGAAAAAAATTCATTTGAAATAATTCCTTGTTAGTGGAAAATGCTTGTTATATTTTAAATTAGCATTTTCGTTCCCAAAAAACTGCATCTACACAACAAAAAATTTAACTGAAATAACAAATATTGTGGTCAAACAATCATTTTTCCTTGAAATTTGTGTTTCATTTTTTTTAAATAATCAATTTTTTCCATTAAAATATATTCAATTCCATAATTATGCTACCCAAATTAATTTGTATTTACTTACATCATATTTAATTTAATATTTTATTCTCATGCCATGAGAAGGTCTTTGTATCATGCGATTAGTTTCAATGAAATGATTGTCTGTCATCCCAAGACCTCATTTCCGATAATATAATAAGTATATCCTGCTGCCTGCCAGCAGAGGATCACAATAAATTAATTGACACTAAAATGAAACAGCAGAGGTCATGGAGACTTAATCCACGCTCTCCACTGAAATAATAATAATACATCGTATTTTAAAATAATTATGAATCATTATTATTGTTGAACGAAGGAAAAATTTGAATAATATATTATAGTACTTAAAGTAAAAATTACTGTTTTCTTGGCTATTTAAAATTTTTTTTTTGCAATCTCATTTAGGGATTTAGGTAATATAAAATTATTATGAGGTGACAAGTCAGGTTTTTAAATTTATGTTTATAATCTCTTATTAAATATTTTTTACAAAGTTTAAGGCCAGTGGAAACTTTCTTCCTTAAGATTTTGGCTAAAATTTTCCGCAATTTTTCTAATTATAAAAATTAAAATTGAAAAAATTTTCTACTTCTTGGTTTATTTGTTTTCCTTGTCTGCAAATGTGATTCGCATCATACTTTAACCGTGTGTTTATGTTTACAGTGCACGTGATTTTGGCAGAGGCCGTAACTCTTTCTTCGCCACTCAGCGTCTCGCGGCGGGAGCGAATGCGTGGGCGTGCGACGCAATGACGTCCGCCGCGTGCGTCGCTTTGGCACCCGCCGACGCAACCCGCTGTCATCTCGAGTGAACATTTTTTTCGCCACCAGCACCGCCAAGGTTCGAAAACGCTATTTTCTTATGCCAGCTTCTCGCCGAAGCGCGATTTAATTTCGCCGTTTTAAATTGGAAACCGAGGCGCGCAGTAAAGCTATTCTCGGTCGACGCGCCAGCTGGAGTTGTTAAATTAGCTGAAAATAATATAATCCCTGCTACAGCGAACACGGAGGTTTATAAACACAGGGCTAAAACTTAATTTACTCCGCGGCCCCAGGCTAACAAACACAAAATTATAACCTAGTTAAAAGCAGCTGAAAGTCTCACCATTTGCGTTTGATTCAAATTTGATGCATACAAATTTTATTTCAAAATAATTACTTCATTTTATTATTAAGTTTTAAAATGGTATTTTAATAAATGTTTTAAATTTAATTTATTATTTAAATAATTTTAATTAAATTCAAATTTCATATGGCATTCATGTTTAGAAGTCTTCACTAATTATCATAATGAGGTAGCTTATTTCGAGATAGTTATTGAAATTAAATAATTCGTGTTATGAGAATATTTTTAAGCGGTTAAATAAATCATATTTAACTAAGTCAGTTAATATAATTTTTGTAAAATTCATGAAAACGCTAAGATAAAAAAAATATCTGAAAAGTGAATGGTAAGATAGAAACCGACAATAAACACAGCATTTTGCCATGTTATTGGCAATTTCACTTTTCTCCAATATTTTTACAAAATCGTTTAAATTCATTCTTTACTTTGCAAATAATCCTAATTTATTGTAAAATGAAAAGAAAATCCTGTTCAAATGATAAAATTTCGATCATTGTCAATATTTTCTTTTGTTACAAAAGTTTTCTTTTATATAGGGTGGATTGACCTTTTCCAGAATGATGCTTTACATGAGGTCGCGCACCAGGAAAGTCGCCCTAGTAGTCGTGACTTTCGTGGCGCTTGTTTACCTGACAAACATCGCGTCCGTGAGTAACGAGATCTGGAAACATCCTCCGTGGTTCGCCAGACCGAATCCGCAGCCGCCGCTGCACCTGCAAAAGCCGCAGCAGCGCGTTGACGATGAAAGCGGCGCCTTCCGCAGCACCGAGAGGAGGAAGGAAGTGTTTGAGAATGTCAACAAACTCGACGAAAATGCAAAACCTAACATCAACTTGCCGCCAGAATATAGAGTGGTCCACCTTGACCTCAAGGGAGCACCGCCAAAGGTTATTTTAAAATGATAAATTTGAAGGAAATTTTTTTAAAATAATTTATGAGTTTAAATTCTAATTAGAGAGAAACTGTAAAAAAATTAAATAAAAAATAAGAGTTGTCCTCTCATTAATTATAATCCTCTCATAAGGTTAAAATTATTGAGGTAAGAGAGAACTACGTTGTAAATTTTGCAAAATACTTATTTTGCAAAAATAATACTTTTATCGATTAATGTTAATTTAATTTATTAAATGGTACATTTTGAATAGCAAAAATTTTCACTTGATTTTTTTTCGTTCTTTGAGTGTCAAAAAAATATTTCGGTTATTTTGCAACATTTTTGCCGTTTGCAGATCAGTTTCCTTCGCGTCCTCTTCCCGCTGATCGCCTCAGCAGGCGCGAATGCCATCCTGATAGAGTACGAAGACATGTTCCCCTTTGTCAACAACCTGCGCAACGTGAGCGCCCGCAACGCGTACACCAGGTCGGACGTGCAGGAGATCAACCGTCTGGCCGCCAAAAGCCAGCTCGAGGTGATTCCTCTGGTGCAGACCTTTGGCCACCTGGAGTTTGTGCTGAAGCTAGAAGAATTTGCCCACTTCAGGGAGTCGATGGACTTTCCACAGGAGGTGTGTCCCAACCACCCAGAGGTCATGACCCTCATTCGTGACCTCATCGTACAGGTAACTAGAAAACTCTAAATTTTTGCAAAAATCTTGAAAATAGAAAGAAAAATAAATTTAAAATACATTTGGAATTGCTTCAAATGATTTTAAAAGTATTCTGATAGTTTTTAGATACATACACTGCAATAATTGTTTTGGACTAATCATTAAAATTGTAATTTTTAAACATTGAAAGTATGCATTTATGCTAGAAACTAAAATATTAATTAAATAATAAACAAATTAAACAGTCATACATTTTAAATTTTTAATGAAGTTTTTTTTTAGATTTGATTGCCTTTCAAAATTGTTGACTTTACTGCAGTTAACAATCCCACGCTTAATTGTTTTAGTAATTAAAATAATCTGCAGGTGAGAGCGTTGCACCCAGAGTCGCGCTACATGCACATCGGCTGCGACGAGGTTTTCCACCTGGCCCTTTGCGCGAGATGTTCCGCCAAACTTAGAGCGGCACAGGCGCAGCAGAAGGAGAAAAATAATGTGTTTGCCAGTGACCCGAGGTTTAACATTTTCGCCTCGCATGTAGCTAAGGTCGCTAAATTGGTACGTAGAAAAATATTATATAGTGCCACCGAATCAAACTTATTGTTACGGCCTCCCTATCTGCAATCAAAAGATAAAAAAGTAGCCTAACCCATTATCGTGTAGTTTATCAAAAATCGATTTGAACCATTATTAGGAATAAAAGAAGCTAAAATACAGCTAAATGAAAATGTAAAATGTAAAATTTATATTTGGTTTGATTTTTTTTAATGATTTTGATTAAATTTTTAAATATCTTATTTTTTGCACGCAGGTCAGAGATGAACTGGGCATGATTCCAATAATTTGGGACGATATGCTGAGACAGCAGGGGCCCAGACTGATTGGTTCTGAACTGACCAACCTGGTCGAACCCATGGTTTGGGTCTACACAGACGACATCACCAGATTGGTGCCTCATTATGTGTGGCATTCGTATTCTTCCGTGTTCCCAAACATTTGGGCCGCCAGCGCTTTTAAGGTGAGAACTTTTAAAACAAAAATCGTTTCTATCAGTTTCTCAAATTTATTTCTAAAATATTTTTTAATTTTCTAGATCATTTTTCCTGTATAAAAAAATCACCTTTAAATTTTGATTGTGGAAAATTAATTTTTTTTTTTATAATTTGAAAGGGTGCGTCTGGCGAGCGGGCTCTGGTGCCGGACATTGACCGGCGGATCGCAAACACGGCAGCCTGGCTGCGAATTTTAAGCGGCGAGGAAATCACAGGGCGCAAGGTGCGCCACTTCCGAGGCATTGTGCTCACTGGCTGGTCCAGGTACGACCACTTTGCCGTCCTGTGCGAGCTGCTGCCGGCGTCGGTGCCGTCGCTAATACTCGCCCTGGCGCTGGTCAACTCAGGCGCCTCCCAAGTTACTGACGCGGTTGCTCAAACGTCCCTCACGCTGCTTGAGTGCGGATTGGACATGAGGTACGTCCGATCAATTAGTTCGGCATTCTAAAAGAACTACAACTATAAAAATAATTACTAAAACAAACTGAAACGACTTTTCATTTTTACTGAAATAAAAGACAAGACTTAAAAAAATTAGTTCAAATTCAAATCATTATATACATTAATCCATTAAAAATTTGGATGATAAAAAATTTGTGTGTGTGTGTTTTTTTTTAATATAAGAGAAGACCATAATTTTAGTTGGTTTCATTACATATTTTTTTTTTTAATTAAAAATTATTAATAATAATATTTTTGTAAAATTATGCACTTCTCACAAATTTGATTAAATTGAATTTATTTTTCAGACTTCATGCGAATGAAGTTCCTCAACTACTCACATCCGAGTCACTGGCTCTGGACCCACACCAGCTCAACCTGGGCGAGATGTGCGCTTTTCCAGGTGCAAACGCCCTAGCCGTAATGAAGCAATTTGCTATGATCAAACAGCAGGTCGATGAACTTTACTGGGAACTCACTGAAAAACAGGGTTGGCTAACCCCGTACAATGTGAGGCACGGTTTTTCAAGCCCGTGGAGGATTGCTGAAGGACTTGGTAATTAATTTATAACAAATTTTTATAATATTTATTAAAAAAATATTTTAAAAGTAAAATCAAATGAAATATAAACAATCGGCGTTTTTTTTTATAGTTTTTTAATAAATAAATAAAAATTAAATTTAAATGGATCAGTCTCATTGAATTGAACAATTTTTATAATAAGAAATTATAATAATAAAATAAAATCAACTATAAAAGATGTTCATACTTTTAATCAAAATTGTGTAATTCTCACAGATTGATAAGAAATATTTTTTTATTGAATTAAAAATACTCTTTTAACCAGCCTGGTCATAAACACAGACAATATTTTGAAATTTAAAATTTTCATTTTTTTTTAACTTTTTTAGCAAAGCAGCCATTCCTCCTTTCCAACGTAGAGATTTTGCGCAACTCAAGCCAAAAGGTCCTGAGCCAGTACCTGGACTCGAGCTCCGTTCGAGAGTGGGTCGAGCAACGCGTGCAGCCCCTGTATTTAAAGTTGCATGGACTGCAGAAGGACGCCCAGTCTCTGATGGCGCGGACGCATTGGCCTCGACGGCCACTCGATTGAAAAGCAAAAAACTTTTGTTTGAAGAAGAAGAAGAAATATACAGGACAAAGTGAGAGGGCGAAATTTTGGCTGCTGGTGTGAATTTTTTGCAAAGTTCAGGCGGCAACGACGCAATCTGCCTCTGATCTCTTTTTATTTTTATTTAACATAGATTATTTTCGTCCTGCGTTGAGAATAATAAGAGGTTCGTTTTGAATCAAATAGACAGAATTTAAGGCAATTTGGTTTGTTACATTTTTTTTTCATTTTGCATTTTTTTGTAAAAAAAAAAATTTGTTTCAATTCCAATTTTAGAAAAATAAATAAGTGCAAAAATATTTTTCCTCAGGATAAAACAATTCCAGAGAAGTGCTCTATTGATGTGAGACTTTATTATAAAATTTGCTTTATTCTCATCTAACGTTATTTAAATAAAGTATTTACTTAAAATTATCGTGCTAGATTTAGAGCTTTCGTGTTTCAATTTTTGTAATTTAAGTTTTGTGTGCCGCCGCGACTGCTGGATGAAAAACTGCGTGCGAGACGCGAGTGTTGCTTGTACACAACACGCAACAGCAACACACTCAAGTGCTAATATTAGCCCATTTTGACGTAATTGGCCTGAAGCCACTTTACTTCTGGGCAATCAAAACTAGAAATAATTAGAGTGCCATGAGTTAATTTTCTAAGAGAGAGCTTCTGAGGTATGATGGTTTTGTTACCGTTCAATTGAATCATTCCAAATCATTCATTAGAGTTTTTTCAAGAAAGTTAAAATGATTAAGAAAAATAAACATTAAAAACATGTTTTCAATTTTACATCCTCATAAAAATCTGATACAAATTAATTAAATTTATGAACTGAAATAATGTTAAAGTAAAATAATTCTGTATTTAAATTTTTATCATTAAATCAGCAAACCAAAGATTAATATTTGAACACAGAATGATATTATATGAAAAGGAAAGGAAAATTATTACAATAAAATATACAAAAGAATATGTATAGGAAATTGTAGTTAATTTTTAAAATTTAAAATTTAGAGATAGAATTCCGTTTTGTCAGTTTTACAGGAATAATTATAAATTACCTTGCATAAATACTTCCAAAGTTGAACGTTTCATTACCGCGCGTTGTTCAAATCGAAGCTCTCTCATTGGCTGCTCAGAGAATAGCACCCCTAGCGGCGACCAACGAAATTTGCCAGCTCAAAAACATCTGCGATCTCAAAACAAAAACATCCAAACTCCAGGTATGTCGAGAAAAATTAGATTCGGCCGCTTTTTAAAACGACAAACTGACCTAAAATTTGATGTTTCTAATTAAATATTATTCTCAAAAAGAATTGGAATAAAAATAACAACGGGGGAATTATTTTTCCTCAAAATTATTCCTTGTCTTTGGACCTTGACCTGCCCTTTGCTTGTGCTCAGTGAGCTGTCGAGAGGGTGTTGTGTTTGTCTTTTGGTTATCTCTACATATTTCTTATCAGAAAAAAACATTTGTACCCACGGTTTTGAAATCAACAGATTTTTCTTATATGTAAACATCTCTCTCCATTTCAGTTTGCCACAGGGAGAGAAATTCAAGATGCTGCAAAAGGGTTTGCTTTTGAGGGCGGTGATTATGGGCTGCCCTGGTTCAGGCAAGGGCACCATTTCGTCCAGAATCAACAAACACTTTGACATTCTGACATTGTCGAGCGGCGACCTGCTACGATTCAATGCTGTGCAGCAAACCCGTAAGATAAAAAAAATTCATATAACAAGTAAACATTTTTCTGCAAAATTCAGTATTTTTTTCCACAAATTTACGAGCTCAATTTGGGCTTCTTCAATTAACTTTGTATCCCTGCCAAGAATAATAATCATTCTGTCTTTCAGCTATTGGCCTTAAGGCGACCAAGTACATGGAAGAGGGCCAACTGGTGCCCGACGATCTCATCACAGACCTCGTCCTTGAAAGTATAAAGACGCACGGAGAGGGCCGTCATTGGCTCCTGGATGGTCAGTTTCCGCAAAAACGCTCAGTATTTTTATTTATTGATTCTTATTACTTCATCGCAGGTTTTCCTCGAACCAGAAAACAAGCAGAGACTTTGAACAAGGCTTCCCCGATTAATGTGGCCATCAACCTGATTGTGCCTCACGAGGTCATTATTTCTCGCATTGCTGGACGTTGGACGCACATGCCCAGTGGCAGAATTTACAACACGGAATTCAATCCACCCAAAATTGCTGTAAGTTTTAATTTTACAAATAAATGTTACGTAATTTGAGATTTTAGTTTTCTACCAATAAATATTACTGGTAAAAATCATACACTTTAAAAAAATTAACTATCTTAACTTATCTTGAAAATAAATTATAATTTTTTGGAAGCAGAATTTTGTAATTTGCGTTTCAAAAATGAAACAAATTTTATATATAAAATTGATACTTCATCAAAATTTGCATTAATTTTTTTATATTCTTGTTAAAAAGGGCCGTGATGACATCACTGGTGAACCTCTGAGCCAGCGTGTCGATGACCAGCCAGAAAACATCCGTCGCAGACTTGACATCTACTTGAGCACCATGCAGCCCGTGGTTGATTTTTACCGTGAGGCCGGCGTGCTTAGGGAATTCAAAGGCAAAGAGTCAAACAAGATCTGGCCCGAGGTTTTCAGGTCGATGGCAACTTTCATCGAACCCAAGATGCCCCTGCCCTGAATAGGACGACTGATTTCAACTTGTGATCGTAGTCGAGGCCTTAGATTCAATTATTGAAATTTGAAATTTTATTCAGCTGCCTCTCGATGATAATAATATTTGCTGTAGTTTATTCTTGTGTGGCTCTGGTCCAGCCTAAAGCTGAACTCGGTGCCAATGAGCTCAAATATCAACTGTTGTTGGAGACTGGTGGCCAGTATTTTAAGTGAATAAGAAAATATGATACTATTTTCAGGCGGGACTTGATTTAAGGCTCGTAGACTTGTAACTCAAAACCACTGCATTATTAATTTCACCCAAAGTTCGTGAGCCAAATTAGTGTCCGCCGATTCTAAAAATACATTTTGTTAAAATTGGTAGGTTAGAAAAGTTATTTGACTGTGGCCGTAACTTTTTTCAATGTGTTCAACGAGTGGAGCATAATTATCCTGTCAGTTGAATTCTAGTAAAATATCCAAATGTTATTGTTAGTAATTGTTCCAAAAGTGAGAAATTTTAAATGCAGAAAATTATAGATATATGTTACCATAGACATATGCCTGTTGGCGCAGGCAATTTAATTAACCTTGTCCCCTTTTGTGGGCAATGCACAAATGCATGCCATTATTTGGCCGCTGCATAACTAACCACAAAGATCAGAGGGTGCTCCTCTGGGACTGTATTTTTTATTTCCCCTAAAAGTCTGACAAGTAATTATCCTATTCCTGAAGCCATTTATAATTTTTAGCAAAATGCATGACGAGTATTATTTATGTAGAAAAAAGAATAAATGTTGTAAATTTCACTAAGATTCTTTTATTCAACAATCTACCATAAGTTATTATCAAGGACATTATTTTTCCACGATCACAAAGTTGCAGGTCAACACAGCTATTTTCTAAAGTTTATTAAGTACAAGATCGATAAAATTTGCAGACTAATTGGAAAAATAAGTTAAACACTATTACTCCATCACATAGTGAGATGCATTATTTAGAATAAATAATAATATAAAATTAATAATGAAATAGAAATGTAGTTAAAGGAGCTCAAAGTCTTCGGTACCAAAATCATCTTCATCGCCAGATCTAGTGAGGCTGTCATCAGGAATGGAATATCGGGGCAGAGAAATGGCATCTTTGCTACGGCCTTCGCAGAACACAAAAATTGGGTAGTCGGATTTCTGCTGCGGTGGAACCAAATTCTAAAAAAGAAAAAATGATTTATATTATTTAGTGTTTTTAATTTACTTTCACAACTTCTTACAGGTTTGGCTTGTTTAACGAACTGGTCAAAGTCAGTCCTGGTGTTGCAGTAAAATCCCAAGCAGCACGAGGGGTCCATTCGGAGGAGGCTTAACTTTCTGGGAGAGCGGCAGTGGAAGGATTCGAGTGGAAATCCAGGCTGGTAAACATTAACCACCTCTTGGCAGTAGTGCGGGTCGAGATGAATCAACTTGTCATCTGTAATTTTCAATTGAATTTTTTCATTCCGAGTTGAAATAAAAGACAAACCTTGGAAGCCAATAAAATAGAGGGAATGGTTGGGCCGTCCTCCAATTATGCCTAAGCAGCTGTCCAAGGTCATCAGGTTCATCAGGCAAGGGCCGTAGATGGTGTTCAGTTTCTCAACACCAAGTCTGACAGGTACTAAAATGATGACAGATTTCCAGCCGTCCTCACCGTCACACTCATCCAAAATATCCTGGGTGTAAACTGAGAAATGAAAGAGAAATTTGAAATAGGTTTGGTGCAAAATTTAAAAACCAATTACTACCTGCGCAATCTTGGGCAACATAAACTCGAAGCTTTCTGAATTCTCCAATAAACCTGGCTGCGTCTTCAACTGCTTGTCTGAAATTTATATGACATTGAGGATGTTAAAATTTTTATTCATTAACTTGAATGTATTATTTTATCGAACAGATCAATTGAAGAGTAAAAAAGAGATAATTTAAGGATAAATTATTAAAAATTAAAATGCAGATCAAACTCCCTTTTCGAGCCTAAAAATTTAATTGAAAAACTAATAGGTGGAAATAATGAAAAAAAAATATTATTTTTACATAGTTATGAATAAATAAAAATACTTTTTCAGTATTCCATTAAATACCTGAGAAGGTAAGCAACTGATGCTGGGCCGTACCAGTCACCGATTTTCTTTCCAGTAGCTGTTCCGAGGGCGACGAGTTTGTGGAGAGAAAAGGGGCTATGTGGTGAGGGACTGTCTCCGAACCATTTGATTATATTTCTGTGCATGTTCTCCGCCCTGATGTCGTGGAGACTTCTGTTGTTGAGATCATTATTGTCCGACCACCTCCACCCTGAGTAAATGAATTATTATTAAAAGTTGAACAAATTATTCATAATTCAATTAAAAAGTAGACAAACCTCTGCCAAGAAAGTGGTTCGTAAGAGCTTGGGCCAGCATCATCTGGCCCGACCTGAGCATGCAGCCCCAGCCACAGTCCGAGGTCAGCCGCGAACCGTGCAGGTTGACGAACTCCCTGCGGTAGGTGAGCCACACTTTGGAGAGAAAGTCGCTCTTGAACTCGTCCACCCTGTCGGCACCAACCATGTGGTGCTGGCCAAAGTGGTAACACCGGCCAAGCAGCCACACCGGTGAGTCTTTGCTGAAGTTGGTCTTGGTCTTCAAGGTCCATCCTAAAGATGGAGAATAAAAACAATGAGTGAATTTGTTTCAAGGTTGATAAGTGCTGACGTCAGGGTTTACGAATGATTAATTCTGAATTCAATAAAAGTTAAAAAGAAACAACTCTTTAAGTCGTTAAAAGATCTTGGAAAAATCATTAAATTTATCTTTATTTTTTTTATTTTTTTTTAACATAATATTGCACAATGTTATTGATTGTTTACCATGTTCTAATATTTAATTAATGATAAAGATTGGAAATGTAATAAAGTTTGAATCCAATAATATTATTTTTACTTAAAATGAGTAAGAGTCATGTGACTTTTTTTATTGTTTTGATGCTTAGGTCGACCGTTCAAGGCCGATTCACGGTCAACCATATTTTCCAAATTTTCCTTAAAATTGAAACAGTTAAAATTCCCACTCACCATATTTCATATTGTTCCACATCGACTTGAGCTTGTCCTTGATGATTTTCGACCCCTCGTCGTCCTGCTCGGGGGCGGCAGTCCTGGGACTCCTGGGGGCGGCGATCCGCTCCCTGAACTGCCTCAGCGAGGTGCCTCGTTCGTTGTTCATGACGAAAATAATTCGCGTCTGTCTGTCTACGATTTCGGCAGGCACGTTGACCTCCACATAATTGATCAATTATGTATTGCGAATGACCAAAGAACAATCCGCTCGTAATGCTCCAGGCCGACTCAGGGCGCACAAAATCGGCCAATTCCGAAGCGATTGGCCTTCCTTGCTCCACTTCTTTATTTACCTTTTGCAGTGAAAGTGGGAGTGACCTTCTGTGAACACCAAGCCTGCGCTCCGTCGATCTTTTTTAAGCAGAACGGCGCCAAAAGCACGCGGTGCTGAGGTCAAAATAATTATTTTGATGTAAAAATCGTAAAAAAATTTAGATATTAAATGAAGTAATATGAAAAAATTTGATTAAATTGAAATTTCTAACGAAAATTAAAAAAAGTAAATAAAATAAACATTATCACAAAATTTATATCTTATAAATAGAATTTATTTATTGCTTTAGAGCTAGACTAATTATTACATTCATTTATCCTTATGCTGATGCCATATATACTCCTTAAAATAGTCAAATCAAGTCTTTATAACTATAATAGGAGCCAGGTTTGGCTATTATTAGAAAACAATTGGAAATTTTAGCCACCATTTTTGTAAAGACTTGATTTGACTTTAACTTAAGATTGAATAATAAACCTGGAAGAAACTTAAATTATTACAATCACATGAAAAGATTGAATATAATTTATAATTTACGTATAATTTATTTATAAATTTAAGTTAACAAACTTTTATTTGCTTAATTAGGTACTGTACTATATTATTTTTTCTATGAAATTAACGCAGAAAATGAAGGCTCACCCTTTGTTAATTTGCTTTTGAGCCACAATTTTATTCGTTAAGTTAAATTAAAAAACTTGTTCAAATTTTGCATTTTAATAAATTATTTCATAGGTAATGTGCTTTGATATTAAAACTGTGAAAAACGAAGGGAAAATCCACATTTTAACGGTGTTTTTATTAAATATAAACTTTGACTAGCAACTTAATTTGCAAATTAATTTAAGATTATTTGCAAGGGATAAGGACGGTAAAAAGTGACACTTTATTTAAGGATGACGTCTCTGCTAAAAATGGCTCTACATCTTTTGGGGGCGATTTTTTTACTCTGGCTGCATTAGCAACAGATTAAGATGTCATTTGCGTCTTGGCAGCGCAAAATGTATGAAAATTCCAAAATAATATACTGCAAGAATAAAACAACAATGCAATTTAATAATAAATTACTTTGTCGACAGATTTTGCGCTCCCTTGACGATTTCCAATGAGAAATTATAATTAAAATTATAATCCTAGGAAGATATTGGATTTTTTTTAAATCAATTCCTTGTCAATGATTTTACTTTTATCATAGTTTGCAATTGAATCGAGCAGACTCATCAGACGAAAATTTCTCGAAAACAAGTTCATAATTCCGAAATTAAGTCCGAAAATTAAAAGAATTAATTGTTAATGGTTATTTTTGAAAATTTATAAAATGTTTCCTCAAAAAAGCTTCCTTTTTTACATTTTCTTGCGCCTGATTTTGCTCTTTGTTAGCAACAAGCGTGCCAGCAGTGTTCTCACGGTTGCATACCTCGCTGTCTACAGGCGCCTCACAGCGGCAAAAACGACAAATGCGGTTTCCGACTGAGTTAGTACGGCTCTACCTCCCGCTGTAGGATACGTTGGTTCTATAGTGTAGTGGTTATCACGTCTGCTTTACACGCAGAAGGTCCCCAGTTCGATCCTGGGTGGAACCATATTTTTAGCATTTTACGATACTTTTCAACAGAAATTGTTGAAAATTAGAATGGAACGTTGAAAACGTCAAATTTTATCATCTTCAATTCTATCAGATTGGTAAAAAATTCAATTTTATTTAGCAAAAGTTTAACGTTAATATAAGAAATATTTAATTTTCAAACTGTTCAAATTTATTGCGATTCTGCCATCCGCACGTTTGTTGCAAAATCTCCAGCTGTCGGTAGTTTTGAATGCAGTCCAAGTGGAAGGGCTATTTATATTAATTGGTTTGCAACAACAATGAAAGACAACAAACACACTCGATCGTTCAACTCTGCTGACAGAGTCAGGGTCAAGAGCTGCAAATAACCAACGAGGCGCGCGTGCTTTCAATAAAAACTCGCGACCATTGCTTGCGTACTGACTAATTTGGCCAACTGTTTTTGCGCGCCTTTTTAAACAATCAAATCATCATTACACTCAACTTTTTACAATAATTACTTTAGCTTAATGTAAAAATAAATTATAGTTTCAAAATTAAAAAACGAACCACAACAGATTGTTTGATTTCAATTCTAGATATTATCATCTTATAGTAATTTTAAGCAAAATTAAAATGGCGTCAATAATAAAGTAATTAGTTAAAATTAAAATATTATTTTTATGGAAAAAAACGAAAACTACTTTTACAACACAAAACACAAATAAAATGGCGTATCATGTAGGAGGCGAATTAAATCACTGTTCCTGTTCTTTTCTTTGCGTTATTTTAAAATTACCTTGCCATCGTTTAGAGTCCCGGCGCATGTTCACGTGCGCTGCCATATGACACTTTTACAACAAGCTCTTTTATCCTCATATGCCCTTTCCGATAGCGGCGCGGCGAATAGAGGAGGTCCACGTGCGAGTATATTTCTGTGAAAAAAGCCGCACTTGGTAAAATATAGACACTTTACTCTGTGCTGAGATCTAAAATAAATTCCAAATCGGAAGAACAAAAGCGACCACTGTTGAATTGACACCCAAAATAGCTGCTTGGTTGTAAAAGCAATGAATTAATTTGATGTGTGGCCATAGCTTGGCAGCATCAGAATTCCGTAAGTTATTTCAAATTTAATAATAATTTAATTGTTTCTAGAAAACTTCAAAAATAAACAAAATTAAAATTATCCATTATTGCAAACCTTGATAGATCAGCCATAACATTAAAAAAATTTAATTTGATAAAAAATAATGCTCTATTTAGTATTTTTAATTTGATTGATAAAATTAGAGAAGGAATAGGTTAAAAATATGGCACTTGAGAAAAAATAAGGTCAATAGGCCGCACTCTCCTCGTCTCTTGCTCTTCCGTAACAGCTATCCATGGTAATTAATTCGCTCGTTGCATGTAATACCCGCCTCTCCACTTTCTTTCTTTCTTTCTTTCTCTCTTGTCTTCGTTCCTTCGTTTGGTCTCCGGCGCTCGCGTGTGCGACTCCCGCGAGCGGAAAAAGGCCCAAAAGTGTCACAAATTATGAAATTCGAGCCGCTCTCGTGGAAACGAAAGCGTGATTCACTTAATTCGTACATAAAATGGCACTGCAAGCCCATAAAAAGTTTCAATTCCTGCTCTGCCAAAAAGGAAAACTAAAAATTAATTAATTTAAAGGCATCTTTAAAATAATTTATTTAAAAACCAAATTTGATCATACATTTAGACAGTATTTAAAAAAATTAAACAGAATTTGTAATTTAGTTTTTTTCATTTATTTAGTTTAAAATCTTTGATAATTTTGACGCTATTTTAATTTTTATTTAAGCGTTTGACTGAAACAAGTCAAATTATATTTAAATTTGATTTTAATTTTTAGCGCATATTCGGCAAAGAAATAGCATTATACAAATCCTGTCCTGTACGTATGTGAACGCCATTTAGTCCCATCTAAATTGGTTGCCGGCTGAAATCTTGCATCATGCTTAGCTAAATTGAGCTGTATCGTAATACAAGGATCCAGTTAACCTTGATGCCGTGCAAAACACGGAAGAGTGTGCCAAACTACAAGTGAATAATAATCTGGATCAGTGCAAATGGTTTTTATTTTCTTTATCCAATATAAATTTTTTTATAATGAAGCTTCTCAGCTTCAACTGGCATTCTCGGTCCAAACAAGTCTCAACCTATGCTTTTGGTCGAAAATAGAAGAAGAGACTCACGGCGCGGATTGAGGGCAAAAAGTGCGCGCGACGCAAGAGTTTCCACAAACGACGAGCAGCCGTTCGTTGGTAAGCAAACACGCAAGATGTGGTAATTGGGATTAATGGCAATTAGTCAAATCAAGTGCGCAACTGGGAGACGCGCAGTGGCCAGCCGGAAAACAAACACTGTGCCTGCTTTCCGAGAATAGGGCAAAACAAAGCCTTCGTTTGTCACACAAACACTGAGCACGGCAATAATAATTACATCAGACGATTGGACCGCGGCCAAATCCGCAGCCCGACCACACGTGTGTCGCGCTAACTTTTTGCCGAGAACAGGAATAAAAGTCCTGACGGGGTGAGTGGCCCGCAGGAATTACCAACACCTTCAATTATTTTTCGAGGAAAACGTTTCGCAAAAATGCGTCGTTTAAGTATTCCGTATCTGGGAACTATCTTCAAAGGTATATAATTAATACGTTCTCGTGTTTTGGTTTTGAAATAGTTTCAAGATCACGCAAAATCTGTACAAATGACCAGTTGGCAATCATTGGCATTTCCAATGGCAAACAACACTAACCAGTTGAAAAACGATTATAAATCCTAATTATTCACTTTATTAATTGAATTTATCAATTAATTGATGTATTTAATTTCCTTTTTCAATTATTAATTATTTTAATTTCTTTGGCAATACCCACTAAGTTTGAATAAAACTTCATCTAATAAAAAAAAATTGAAAAACTATGCGCAAATAATGATGATTAATTAATTAATCATCTACAAAAAGACTCAAATGCAGCAAGTTTAAATAAAATCAGTTTCAAAAAATAGTCTTCGATAAGATTTTATATCGGTCTCTAATTGTAAGATTGACGAAAATTCATTCTATGTATTTCCAATTCGGCGCTTAAACGATCAAGAAGAATTTAAATTAAATTTATTTATTTGATAATAAATTATTTAACTTCATTTGTATAATTGCGGATGATTAAATTTGTATTAATTGTAGATAAGCGCTGAATTAGATAAAAAAAATCATAATAAATATTTTGTGTAATAACCTTTTCTCCAAACAATTAATCTATAGTGAAAAGAGAAAATATAAATGTAATTGAGTGGGTGCTGGGGGTATTTGTGTGTGTGTTTTAAGCTGATCAAAAGAGGCACACACACGCCACTTCTAAAATTGGATCTATTTATTCTGCTGGCCGGCACGGACTTACATAATAAGTGTGCGCGTTGAACGTGAGTCTGCTGGAGTGCAAAATAAATATAAAGCGAGACATCGCGAGTCACG